AAAAAAAAAAGGGAAAAAAAAAAAAAAAAACCCAAAAAAAAAAAAAAAACCCCCCCCCCCCCCCAAATAGATAATACCAAAATCTCATTATCTCTTGTCTCTTCTGTAATACTAAAATGTATGCAGGTAAATCTTCCACGACCACGTGAATCATCAGCCACCTCAAAGACCCGTGACCCTGTGTTATCTTTGTAATTCAAAAAAATCCCGAGACTATCCGAACAAACCTTAGGTCCCCTTTCGATATTCTAAGATATGCACCGGGGTCGTGGGCCCGTTATGCTAATCGTCGTACAACGAGGCCCAGAATAGCCGGAATAAAGAAAGAGATAAGAGACTAGCAGAGATACAAAAATTCATTTGCCTGCGAGCAACTATTTCCCGCGCATGCGCAGTTGTTAACGCACGTGCGACACGCGACGCTAATACTTATCGCTCCAATGAGAAATGCGGATTCTCTAACGACCGTTAGGCGGACATTCGCGCCAAGCGCCACACGCGACACCTCCGTTTCAGGGGAGTCTGTTGCCAAGCGAGTAGTACAAGGCCAAAGATAACGCTGAATCAGATGACAAGCTACAGATATAAATAATTATCTGGACAGAATCCCAAAAGATCATTGACAGATACTGGTCCAGGGGAATCCATAAAAATATTCTTATTTAATAATTAATTAATTTGCTAATTAATCGTAATTGTACTCACCGATCTCAGCGCTGCCATGACACTGCACGTGGTCCGTGCGTCGCGACGCCCTTGGCGTCGACTTTGATCTGGTCTTCGAACCCGACTTTGGTGTATCACCGGAAGACAGAGTCGATCTGCTCAGTCCTCGCACGATACTTGCAATCGGCGACATCAATTCAGGTGATTTTGATTTTCTTAATGATCCTTCCTGATCCTCCTGCTCTGTTATCTTGGACAACAGATAGCCACTGCGCCAGCGAGACATCTTTTAGGATTTACGAGTCTTCTACTTTTTTTTCTTTTTACTGTAAAAAAACGGCAATATGAAAAAATCGATATTCGAAAAATCAATAACATTAAAATACAATATATAAACACACTGACTATTAAGAAACGTTAAATCAATTTTCTCCCGCGTATGTGTGAGTGACAGGCGTCAAGAGTCAAAAACAATCTAAGCCGATCCTACGAGTGACAAATCTAAATGACAGTTTAAAAAAAGGATAGGCTATCTCCAATGACGTTAACGCGTGCGTCTGATCCGATTCAGTGTCCGGAGACATTAGGTAAGTAAGTGATATAAGCCCGTATGAAAAAAAGTATGTAATGGAGAAAGGAGTGAAAAAATATTTAAAAAAAAAAAGGAAAGTCAACAAAGGAGTATTCTTGACTTTCCTTCTTGTCAGCCAATGAGTAAGCCGATTAAGAGGCGCCCAAGCCCAATTGGTCGCCGGTCGTTCAAACCATTTTAAACCGTTTAAGGATCAACAGACTCTTCTTTCTCTGTATAATACATTCTTGCTCACTCCCTTAAAACCGTCCAACGGTTTTCGCTCGGCCGTCGTCATGGACACCGGCCATGAGTATTTTTAATCACGATAAAACACGAGCGTGATATTACTATATTTCCACTACAACGGCCATTTGAAATTATAACAGTCGGTATGTAAAACGCAACGTCAAAATATTACAGCGTCATAACATTATTCCGATAAGCAATAAATTACTACGATAACAATATGATAGTTGAAGAATTTATATTCAATATTTTTACGCGCCTAGATATAGGCAAACGGTTCATTTTCTTTGTTTAACATGTTGCAGCTTGTAGGCGCAACTGAGCAAGCGTTGAGTTTCGGAAAATGCAATCCGAAATTGTACGTGTATTGTAATATATAATAAAGTATGTGTCACTAATTGTAAGTGATATGTGAATAATGCATTGGACTCAAGAACAATTCATGATTACAAGTAATCATTGTGTAACGTTTCTGTATCAGTACTTTGATTGAATCGTTTCAAGCGAGTTAATAACAATGAAACTAACCTTAACCCACGTAAAGAGTACCACTGTCAGGAAGCCTAAACACAGAGGATGGAAAGCGTAGGGTATAAGGAAAAAAAAAGAAATAGAAATAAAAGGTCCAATGGTGAGCACGGCACGATCTTAAAGCGAGGTCAATTGGCCCAAGTGACTGGGAACAATAATGAAACGCGACCGAGTTCGACTCATATTTACAAACAGAAATGCCGTTCGTTTCCGGCAGGAATATTATAAATAAATTTACACATCACCATCGTGGAATTAATACTGCGATTGTTGTATAATAATTAGGAACGAGAGACTAAATAATGAACTTTTGAATAAATTGTGCGTTGATGATTGTCTAACGTACCGGTGCAGTGTGAATGATGGTTGTGAATTATGAGAATTCGGCTTGTTAACGCGATACGAACGACATGCTTGCTCGGGCGGGACTGACCGGGTCTGATCTGCGAATAATTCAAATGATAAAGGCCCAATCAGCACAGTGGGGGGATGGACTATGTGGGAGACCTGGACCGGTAATGCGCATGCGTAGGAACGGTGATAAGGACTGAGTGGGGAAAAGCAACAGATATTTCTAGGATCATCTTTCGCAAATTGTGCAGACTCCCCTTACTCACACTGCTAATGACCATCTTAACTGTCTTAAGTTTTTCGGTTAAATGGTCTTCTTTCTTACTTTCTTGATGGCTGACGTCTCTATTACTTACTTGGTTACAGTTACTTGTCTGCCTGCCAGACTGTTTTCCTTCTCAGCTTCTCAATTTTATGAAGGGATAATGTTACATGGCCAAACGAGATATTGGTGTAGTGTGGCCTAACTGGTCCAAGCCCACCCACAGCTTCCTGAAATGTTTTAGAATTTTTGGACAGAATTAACGAACTTGTAAAAGCATTGCTGTTAGAATGCAATCCTTATGTTCATTGATAGACAATGACTGTGGCATTGCTAAATGGAATTGATACTTCTGGATTAAATTACATGTTTTACCAGTCTTAATAACTAGATGTTATGTGTTTGTATTGATGATAACTGTTTAATCGGACACCGGATAATAAAATAAGATAAAGGAATGTTTGCTGGAAAGCGTACAGCTTACAATGTCACTGTGTCTATGGATTAACCTTTTTTTACATTGACTTAGACTATCGACGATTGTTAGAATTGGTAAGTAATTAAGAAATTAGTTACCTGTGACCAATTACGATGGATTTTGATGATATTCCTTTGGTATTTATGAGTGGATCTTGCCGTAAAACTGTATCTTAAGGATTGAAAGAAAATACCGCGAACTCAGAAACAATGGCTGAAGCGTGTTGGCGTAAATTCGTTAAGAAATTTCGAGACACTAAATTACTTTATGATTTTTTACAAGAATTCACGAATTCGTAGATATTTTGAGTTTTCAGGGATTTCAATATCTCGATTGGTCCACTGTTTCGATTCACCGGGACAAGGATTGAAAGGTATGACTGAGCAATGAAGAACAGCCGCTCGTTTTAAAGGCACGTTGATTCAGTGCTGCCAAATTCTAGAACAAATATTATCGAAAACTACTAAACATTCTTTATGAGGGGTTTTCTTCAATTTTACCTAAATTTCAAGTCTATTCGATATTAATAGACGTCGGTCGATTCCTCATAATTTTTATTGACAATTGTTTTTGATATAAGTAACTGAAAAGTACGATAAATAAATCATTTATTTATACAATTTTAGATGAGAGGAGGGATATTTGAAAATCAAAATTTTTATTCCTTTTAGTTTGAACATCTAAGATAACATTGCTTGGTATAGTACTGTATTTGAAAAATTGATAAACCACTTTTCGTTTTTAAATCTTTCAAGTTTATTTTATTTCGAAGAAATATAAAAGACTATATGTAAATATATATACATATATATCTGTAGATGCCGCATCGTCAGTTTCCATGCGACAACCCCATTTCAAATTAAATAAAATAGTTCCACTGATTACTCCCGTACAACCGGGAAATAACGTTCATTAGCATCATAGAAAATATAAATATAAAGATATAACGAGAAATCATCATTTCTTAGTCTTGATTTCTTAACAACTAAGTGGCCTCTCTGTACCAAATCTTATCAGCCTTTCCATTGAAAATTTCATATACGCCCTTCTTAACGAAGGGGGTTAAAAGTTTGAATTTCCAAAAACTAACTTAATAGGCGCCTGTGATGGAATCATTAAGAATTTAACAATATATAAAAGGCACTTTTCTCTTCTAATAATACTTTTCTTTTACACATCATATCTTACTTGAATGTTATCAGAATACATTTTTAGCCTCACAAACATCGGGGACGCTCGAGGATGCCGTCGTGACATTTCTTTGAAACGGTTTAGAAGACAACAAATGATTCTTGGCCACGTTTGAGAGCAATGCTTTCGGCTTAGGTGGCAGCGGTGGTGGCTTCGAAAGCTTCACCGGAGAAACAAAATGTGATACAAAAGGTGGTGACTCTTTCCGCTGAGTGCGGGAACCATTCTCAAGAATAGTTTGATCACCATCCACGAGAGTATTGTCTAGGTTGCTGGAAGAGTCCAAGGACTCTGTGGTATCGGTATAAGTTTGGTCCACCAAATTACCATTGGATGGACATTTGTTACGATCCAGAATCCCGGAAACTCCCTGGATATTTTTATCGTCACTGTCGTCGTAGAATTTTGAATTTGCTTCGCAGTTTGCAGACGTGACACGAGGTCTTCGTGCTTTCTTTCCCGACATGTGCTTGCCATTTTCTTTGTTCTATGTAAAGATTGAGAGAACCGGACTTACTAAACTTCATTATATTATTTTTTACGTGAGATTTGAGATTGAAATTACCTTAAGAAAATCCGGAAGCTCGAAATTGATTTCAGTTCCTCTCTGATCCTCCAATCTTGATCTTTGAGCCCTTTTCAAGCCTTCATACAAATCTGCAATGTTAAATTAAATTCACTGTAAATTGTACAATATTAAATCTCGATGAATTATTTTTACTGAAACACTTCATACCTTCACCGTCGAATCTACCAGGAAGCTGAAGCTTCACTCCGTTTCTCCATTTAGCAATCAGAGGAGGATGAGGTCGAGACGTTTCCTCAGTAGTACAATCCGTAGAGTTGCTTTTCTCGCTTGCATTACTGCACTTCGATTTTCCCTGAAAATGAGTAATTCATTTAATGTTTCTATCAAGACTATTTATCCCCACAAGATTCATACATGCTTAAAGAAAAATGTAAGTAGCAGCGTACCTTTTTCTTTCCATGAATAGTGGAGTCTCTTAGGAAGAACTTGCTGGAGAGTATCGACGATCCTTCGGAGCGTTGATCATCGGACTGTGTCGGTCATAAAGAATAAAAATGTCCAATTGCAATTACTCATTGTATGGGTTAATAAGCATAAAATTAAATTTACAAAAATTGAAACAAAACAGATTACTATTACCTTGCAGGAGCCTTCGTGGTACTGATACTTGTTTGTACTTTTGCCAACCAGAAGTTCTTCGAAGACCTTATTCGTGATCTCGTCAAGAGTTGGTTGTCCCTGAGGAATGTCCTCAGCGAACTTAAGGGATGACACGTCTTTGTGAAAATCTATATAAAAGACATAAGTATCACTAAAATAGAATGATTTTCTCTAAACAATTAAATTAGAATAGCATAAAATGTAGACGCACCTTCACTTCCGGATGTAAGCACAAGTCTAGAAGGTACATTAATGGCAGGAATGTCCAATGGTACAGGATGACCCTCACCCCAGATAGTAATAAGTTCCAATTTGAATCCGTACTTATTCAGCAATGGTCTGAGAACTTCCCGCAGAGTACGACCCTTGTGAGCCACGACAGTGATGATTCTCCTGGATGGCAAGTCGAGTTTGAGAACCTTGGTCGGGACGACTTCGACTTCCTGACCAGCTAACACCGACGAGGGATACTTGATGTTAACCATCTAACAAGATAAAATAAAAAACGTCCACATCTAATACATCTACTGACGACAAATTATTACAACTTTCAATGTACATACAACACAAAATCATGCTAATACTCCAAAAATAAATAAATACAAACGAAATGCAATCTACTTCCTTTCTATGATTACAAGAAGCATGCAACATGCATTGTAACATATAACAATGTCCTTTTAGTATGGTTAGCCATGTGCAAACCGGTGACCCAAAATGTGTTAGTCGTCTCGTGAGAGTATAATTGAATACCGTAAACCGTGAAATGATTTGTGCGAAGTAAATTGTGATAAATTGATAAAAACGATATATGTATAAATAGTGAGAAATAGAAATGGACACTGACCTCGTCCGTGGCAAGCACGAGAACGTCATAGTTAGAGTAACGCAGAGCTCGCTTATCGAGGAGACGAGTCACCACGTCTTTAATACTCTCCGTTTGGCTAGTTGGCACAACAGTGGTGGACCCATCGGGTAATATGACTCGACTCAACCCGGTGCACTTGGCCTGAACCTCTTTCTTTTCGTTTGACTGACCATCGTAGGACGATACGGACTACAATCGACAGACAGACACACAACCCTTACGCAACGTGCACCACACGAAAATAATAATGAAGAATCGACACTGAGTGATCAAGCTCAGTCAATTGAAAAGGAGGACGAGCTGCATAAATATCCTGGACTTTGTCCTCTGGAAGCTACTTACGTGCTTATTGAACGACTGTCTTAGAGCCAGGTCCCACGAAGCTAGTGAAGATCTACTGCTGGATATAGATACACTGTCCTCGTTATTGTTTCCCTCAGTTTCACGTTTTATTGTTGTAAAACTCTTATATATTGTCTCATTCCGGCTTGGTGTCTTGTTGTATTCCGATTCCCCGCGGTCCTTGGATTTTGATCTGTAAGAAGAGAAAGAGATACATATGGTAAGGAACTAGAAGGTGAAGTTGTTGGTTACTGAAATAAATTATTGTATTATTACCGATTCTTTCTGTGCCAGGGCAGAATTGATTTTCTACAACGATCCTCGGCGTCTGAGTGACTCTTCTTTAATTTTACACTTGGTGAACTTGTTAGTAAATCACAGTCCTCTGTAATGACTACACTGCTGCCAGTCTCAAGACATATTCTGTATAGATCGGATCTCAGAAACCTAGGGTAACTGTCAAACTTCATCAGATTGAAGACTTGTTTTTGGGCCTGAAATACAAATATGGATATAGATAAATTAATCGAGTGAAAATTCACTGACATACATTGATTCATATGAATTTTGATTTACCTGGAGAAAGAGGCCTGCTGGTGCTTCGTTCAGAAGTTCCTGAGTGATCTGACCCGATGCATGGCTGTCAACATTAACAGGTTCAGCTGCACTAGTAGACAAGTGTCTCTGATAAATTTGCCAAGCAAGTCTGCGTCTAATTGCTACATCTTCAGTATCTTTGTATCTTTCACAAGCAGCCCAGAAGTAAATATTCTCATGACTGAATTCTTTCTTCAAGAATTCCTATAATAAAGATGAAATGTTGATTCGTTAGTAAAAAGAATTTTTATTTAACAAAGAATTTGATATCACGTATACTAACTGCAAATGTCTGTAAACCCTTAGGATCCCCCAATAACTTCTCGAAACCTGATGCCCAGTTACGAACACCATTGCATATAGAAGCCTTGTTGCAGGATTCTATACTGCCATGCTAAAAACATAAATTTATTAATTTACAAGATAACGATAACATTCCTAACACAAGACAAACACCATAACACTAAAATTTCAACAATAAACATAGATAAAATCATTATGAATAATGCTAAAGTAAAACATAACAATGTCCATATATGCCTTGTGTGATTTTGCAAGCATGAGCAAAACGGAAACGACGAAAGCCATACACAACTGCTTACCAAGGGAATTCTTGTTAAAGTAATTTCCAGGAAGACAACCCTGACCCTATTAACCCTATTCCTACCAGAGTATGACTTTAAATCATATTGGAAGTTTAAGTACCTGTAATATTTGTAATTACATTTATTTAATAATGACGTTCTGTGTACCTTATTATTCAATATTTCTAGTCCGAGCATAAAATCGTCAGAATTTTGTACTGTAGTTTAAATTCTTATCGCATAAAATGTCAAAGTCAAGTCAGTAACAGAGTCCAGTAAGAATAGGGTAATTTTGTCTTATAGTACTTAAAATCTTTGCAATTTATCCATCTCACATACGACAATCATTCAGCGCAACAGGTAGTTCCGTACAACGCATTAATTCCACCTGTTATTTAATAGATGGTAACAGCGTGAGAAATCAGAATGAACTCCCACGCCATTAGACAGACCGCAATAGGCTCACGTTTCCTCGTCGAATTTTCGTGCAAACTACCTGTCAGATTACGATCGTCTAATTAAACCTTTCACGGAACAACCAAGTGGGACAAGAATACTCCTGGAGCTGATCCCATGAAAAAAAAAAACCATAGATGATCAAGAGAGAAGCATGCATATACCCACTATCCTGGCTTCTGCCTAAAGAAATAGCTTTCTCTACTACGTACTCTTATATTTTTATTGTATCTCCAGTGTTCAGAGATCCAAGCGGTTTTTCCCTGAAGACGCGTCGCTCGACTTCCAGGAACGTGAGCGTGCTGAGAATAACGATCATTTCCTGGCATTATAAAAACAGGCAATACCTAAAGCCGTCGAGAGCGCCGATACGACAAATACAAACTCAATAAGACGATACCGAGAAATTCATTATAATGCGATCAATAAAGTTCTAATGGAACTGATTCAGCGGTTAATTAACGTTACAATAAAATTCATCAAAGTGAGAAAAAGCGATCACCACGTACGAGTAGATCCATATCAGTTGATATAATCTTTTAAACGTCCCTGGTTTAGACATTCCATATAATTCTGAATTACAGAATCATCCTGTGTCATCGACTATGCCCGTGACTTCTCTTCTTCGTTAAACGTTCATTAAACGGGCTACGCCCCAGGGTTAGCGTTCCTAACAAGCTGTCACACGATCCGAGACGCGAGGGATCATCCAGATGACAAGCGCACGCAAGGATACACGAACTAGCACGTACCGAGCACTAACAGATTATTATTATGTAGTGTACGCTGAGGTACTAGCGTACTGTCAAACAGGCAAAGCGCATGGAGAATATACCGACGACTTTACACGTTGCGCGGTTGGCAACTTACTGGCGGTCTGATTGTATTCTCCTTCAGTGTGCACCCCTCCAACAAAGGTTCTCGCGCATGCGCAAAGACGCAACGCACACAACAAGAATCATGTAATCTCTTTCATGCATAGTTTCACTTATACACTATACGCACCTAAATTACTATAGTGTATGCTTATTATACTATAGAACCAGTTGTGCTGCTGTACTATAGTGCGTTCATTCTGCACGCTATATTCCTCCGTTATATGGAGCGCGTTCTCTCCTGTGCTCGTTCCCGGCGACTAACCGGGCTTCACCAGCAGGAAATGATCACGCGTCCTCAATAGGAGACTAAACGAAACGCTTCTACCTGGTGTGGATCTTGATTCTATACGGTCGAGTAAGATCCCGTGAATGGTGCTGTGTACAGGACGTCCCCGAGGAAGGACTAAGAATAAGGAGTTAGGGTGGGAGTAGCTGACATTACGTTAATTGAGGAAATGGGTTATTTGTGGATGGTCTTAATTGAATTGCTCACCAGGCAGTTGTCCGACGTGCACGATCCAATGTTCCGGATTTCCTGGAGGCTACCCCAGCGTTTATCCTTACTTGGGTACGACGGCAGTAGCGAGGATGGAAAGTCCATGCCAGGTTTTAAATCCTCCAGGCTGTGAACTAAGGATTTCGAGACACTGTACACTTTGGGACTTAGCTTGTTGCATGGCTCTAAGGAGCTTGTTGCCTCGGAGAGACTTTCGCTGGACTCTAGTGCTCCGACGGGGAACATTGAAGTGGTCACTAGAGCATCCAGGGAGGAACTGCACAAACTATTCAGTCCGAGCGAGGCAGATGGTCCTGGACAGGTGATGCTATCCCCACCACGAGCAACGCTTTGTTTCCCACACTCTACGTCCTTTCTTGCCGCACCCTTCTCGTAAACTACCCCATTGCTCCCTGCACCCTCCAAATCGTACGGGAATTCCGTGTCCTTTGAATGGCCAGCCTTCATCCTCTCTGTCCACTTAGCGTCTGATATAGCACGTACTGTTAAACGGGAACCCAATGAATCCACTGCAGTTGACATCCTTGCAAATGCTACTGCCGGATTCTGCAAAATATTTTATACAGTTTCTTTTACACTGTCAAAAAATAGTCTTTTTTCCACTTGTTAATTAAGTAATTCTGCACGTTGCTCACTAACTATTATTAACGGAATTATTTGACATCCTGATCAGGAAAGATTCTACAACACTTGGTACGCGCAGAACTGACCAATGACGAATGCATTACACAGAATGAACCGAGGAGAATGACTACGAACTTATAAGGCACAAACGTTAAACTAACATCAAACTTTATCTCGGTTAAGACTCGTTTACTAGGAAATAACGGGTAATTACTTAGCCACACTGATTTTAACGTGTCTTTTCACATGGATTCATGACATCACGACACGGTCATGATACCATGATACGGTCGATACTAGTAGCAGAGAAAAAAGTCTACGTACCCTGACATGATCTGCAGGATACTGACGTCTTCGTGGAAAATCCGCAATAATATTTCTATCTGAATGGCTGCCATAGTCATCCTTGAAACCGATTCCTGAATCGCTATTGCTAGAGTGGGCAGTGGAAGTGCTCACATTGCTTGGTTGTGGAGAGACAGCTTCCTGGTGACGACGATTTTCCTCACCGTAGGGATTTGCTTCGGCATCTGATGTGTCAGATATGTAGAGGGTTTGTATGGCACCGATTAGACCATTGCAACTGTCTGGAAACTCCTGACAGACATTGAGCTCAGATGTTTTTGTACAGGTGAATCCAAAGACATTGCAAGTGCTTGAATGAACCGCGTGATCAATGAGCTTGTAATAGATTGTGAATACATGGCAAGAATTTGAAACTATGTCATCGGTATCTTTGACAGATTTTGTTAGGATCCCAAAGTACTGTTTATCCTGCTCCGAGAAGGAGTTACAGAATATTATTCTATAAGATGGGTATTCAGCTATTACACGATTTTCTGAGTTGGTCAATTTTATATTGGCTACGTGAATTGTCAAAAGTACTGTTGTTGGGTTCCTTTTTTCAGCCTTGAGTCTCTTTATGCACTTTCGAAGTACCTACAACAAGTAAATAGTATTCTATACAACTGACTACACAAGATTAAGCAGTATGCATATAAACTACCAGTTTTTAAATAAATTAAGGTAATGGATAGCACAGCACAGTGAAATTATACCTGCATCATGGACGACGCAGGTAGTTGATTGGGAATGTCAATAGTACCAAGATAACCAACAACTGTTCTGTGTACAATCTTCTCTGAATCTCGTTTTCTGTTTATTGGTGGTGGAGGTGGTGGGAGTGGACTGGCCATATTCCATCTATGATGAAGACTAGAATGACTGCATTGAATCTTGGCTCTACAGGCTGTATCGAACATTGCACCACTTTGTAAATCCCGGACAACTTTAGCTACGCGACACTGTACTGGAACTACGGTATTAGCTGCTCTTGGTTTGTGCGAATATTTTGGCTTTGAACGCACTGTTGCTAAGCCTTCTTCATCCGATGAGTCAGAGTAATAATTTTCAGCAATTTGTAAACGCAGTACACCCTTAGAGTGACCGACAAGTCGAACCACATCATCATGCGGAGCTTTACTGACACTGTGACCATTAACTGCAACTAGATAGTCTCCAGCTCTTAAACCAGCATTCTCTGCAGGACTACCCTGTACGATACAGCTTAGAATGCAAGGCTGCTGGCCTGATATCGTAAATCCAAAACCTTTGCTACCCCGCTGCAACTCCACTGCACGTACACCATAGTTCACTCGTTTTTTCTTTCGCCTGTTGTGGTGCATTTTTGTCACTTAATTACTTAAAAGTAAGAGTACGTTCCCAAGAAGAATTACTAATGAAGTCTCAGCATACTGAAATCATGTCCACGTGTCCCTGTAAGTGCATAAAGAAAGGTTATGGAGTTCACTCTTTGCTCATAAAGCATCTAATAATGTTCATATTTACAATGTTACTTCCTTACCTGAAATACTTATTAAGAAATGGTACAAACTCAATGAAATTCAAGCGCGACTATTCCCATAACATAAACACCAATTTCTCCCATGGCAGCCATGAACTACTGAACTCTAGACTGTGCACGGGGATTTGGGAGCCATGGATTTCAAAATTAAATGATATTCGTTCTTGCATTGGAATTCCTGACGTATAATCTGTACCATATTAATAGCACTTAATCATTCTTATTAAAAACTATATTATATTTCAAAAATTGATATCCATAACAAAAAATTCCCTAAAATACATTATACGTGGAACGGTCGATAATGAAGATATTTATTTGCTATATTTAAATAGGTCAAAAGAGATTGTTATAACAGCCTTTTGCAGCAGCTATACAAAGCCTAGATAAAAAAAAAGTAAACTTCGTACTAGCTCCAAACGGCTGTCCAGGGCATGATCCTGACTGATCATCGGATTAATAACAAAGAAAAATTCACATGTAACTCAAAAACCTGTAACGTCCAAATATTCAAAATATTAACACCATGAAACAAATCATTCGATTAAAAAAAAATGAGATGCATACTATTTTTGTTGCATTATAGACAAATTGTTTTATTATTCACTCCTCTAATCTCTCTTCAAGAATAGGAACATAATCATTATTCGGGATTAAATAAAAATGACTAGCGATCGAATAGCTATGATTATACTTCCCAAGGTACTTTCTTATTAAAAGTAAAATTCATTTTCTACATTTCGTAAATACGTTTCTCTCAAAAACTTATCTTAAGAGTAAGTAGTTTGCAAATAAACGTATAACAATGTATTTCCATATTTCCCGTATGGATGTAGTCAAGGATCAGCATTCCAAATTACTGAAGGTTAACTCTCTACTTGAGTAAAAGTTAAGTAATTCCTTGGATAATTCTATTTTCAAGTTACCTGCGTACACAATTTCCAAAATTTATTTAATTCTACGACGATCACACCCAGAACTATTGCATGTACTTCAAATATTTTAACCAATATTAATACGGATAACATTATTGCATAAACTAGAGATATGCTTCAAGTATGGTATTCAGTCATTATTTAATAAACTCAGATAAAATAACGTTTCCCATTATAAGTAGATTGTAATACTAAGTATTTCGAATGTACGCAATAGAACAGACAAATTTCTCTTAAAAATAGCGTGAATTTTTTAATTTTAAAAGAAAAAAGCCAACTGCAAAGAAATTTCTAAAAATTCTTACGACAGACAAAATTTGAAAACCAGTATTGTTCTAAGAAAAAACGTAATGGTGGCTCTGAAAAGAGCCGTTTGTTTAAGGTGACTTGTGTCATTATATCAGCAGCATAGCCCGTTCAAATTTACTTGGAACTCGTGTATTTCGTAACGGCCTTAGTTCCTTCACTGACCGCATGTTTGGCGAGTTCACCAGGAAGCAGAAGTCTCACAGCCGTTTGAATTTCTCGTGAGGTTATCGTTGAGCGTTTATTGTAATGAGCTAAACGCGAAGCCTCAGCAGCAATCCGTTCAAAGATGTCATTTACGAAACTGTTCATGATACTCATAGCTTTGCTGGAAACACCAGTATCCGGATGAACTTGCTTGAGAACCTTGTAGATGTAAATAGCGTAACTCTCCTTCCTCTTGCGTTTCTTCTTGTTATCACCTTTTGTTATATTCTTCTGTGCCTTGCCAGCCTTCTTTGCAGCTTTACCACTCGTTTTCGGAGGCATCTTTATTTTGTCAGTAGTATCAGTAAAAGAAAAATTCAACAACTTTGTTTAATATCTTATCACAAATTGACTAGATCTCCAATTCGTTGTCAGGAACCGTCTGAAGCTGCGAAGTAAATCCAGTATACTTATAGTTATAGGTATCGCCACGTCTAACCAATCAGAGAGTTCCTTGCTGGAACAAGTCAACGCGGCAATCTGATTGGCTCGCCTAAAGGTTCCTGAATAATATATATAGTTTGTTAACTCTGCCAAAGTTATCAGTCTTCTTGCTGTACGAAGAGAGGATCTTGTATTTTTAATTTGTTGACTCAGTCAGTGACTTCGAAAATGTCTGGACGCGGTGAAGGTTCAAAAATGCAAAAAAAGTCAAAGTCGCGATCTAGTAAAGCTGGATTGCAATTTCCTGTAGCGCGTATACATCGACTTTTAAAGAAAGGAAACTATGCTGAACGTGTTGGGACTGGAGCTCCTGTTTATCTTGCTTCCGTCATAGAATATTTGACTGCTGAAATTCTGGAATTGGCGGGTAATGCTGCTCGTGATAATAAGAAATCCAGAATCATTAACAGACATCTTCAGCTGGCCATTCGCAATGATGAAGAGCTTAATAAATTGTTATCTACAGTCACTATTGCTCAGGGTGGAGTAATGCCTAATATTCAAGCGGTGCTTCTGCCAAAGAAGACTGACAAAAAATAAATCCTAATTGATTTAGCAATTCGACCGGCCCTTTTTAGGGCCACCAATTATTTATACGAAGGTTCAATAGCTGTTTACTTTATTCCTGTTAATATTTCTTTTTGAATTTTACGAAGATTAACGGTCTTTCCTATTTAGGTAGATCAGAACAAATTTCGGATTTTATTTTTATTGGAACTAAGGTTATTTGAATAAACAAACACAGCTAAGAGGTTAAAATTTATTTTGATGTTCTCTAAACGTCGACTTCCTAGCTCAACCAGCTTGCGACTTCAAATAAAATATAAAATTTAATTTTTGATGTTTACTTTGACCTATATTGGTTAAGAGTAGTATTGAAAATCAATGTTCATAATCTTTACAATGCCATAACGATTTTGTAGCTGGAATAGACTTGTACACGCATAATCAAAATTTCTAGAAAGTATATAATATTTCAAACTACCGATATTCGTTTTCACCAACGACCTCGACAAAAAACGATCTACAGTGATGCTCATATTTGTTAAAAATGTGACTTATACAAATGTTATACCAATTATTAATAACAAGTGCTAGTTTAGGTTATTTTTAATTTTTCAATTATGTATAGAAATGTTTAACCAAACGTAGAAATAATTTGTGGCCCTAAAAAGGGCCGTTTTTTCTCGAGTCGAGACGTTCGACTGTTGTCACCTCTTAACCTCCAAAACCATACAGAGTGCGACCCTGTCGTTTAAGAGCATAAACCACATCCATAGCCGTGACGGTTTTTCTCTTAGCGTGTTCGGTGTAAGTTACAGCATCTCTGATAACATTTTCAAGGAAGACCTTCAGGACACCACGAGTTTCTTCATAAATCAAGCCAGATATACGCTTGACACCACCACGACGAGCCAGACGACGAATAGCAGGCTTGGTTATACCCTGGATGTTATCACGAAGAACCTTTCTGTGGCGCTTGGCTCCTCCTTTTCCCAACCCCTTTCCTCCCTTTCCACGACCAGTCATTTTACAGAATTCTTTTCAGACTTTAAGATATATCTAACGAACACGCACCAACTGCAGTTGATCGTTGACTGAAGTTCTGCTGTTTGCGAGGTTATTATAAGCCTAGCGCTACTGTCCCCACCATAGCAACATGGACCAATCACGTGAAGCGTTCTAGAAACGGGATAGTATATAAGAGCAACTTCTAAGGACTAACCATGACATTTGTGTGAACGCTTAGACTGACGACTACCGTTTATATAAGGTTTTTTTTTAAACTTTTGACGATTTCTTGCCATTAGAATGGCTCGTACTAAACAGACCGCAAGAAAATCTACTGGAGGAAAGGCTCCTAGAAAACAATTGGCGACTAAAGCTGCCCGTAAGAGTGCACCAGCTACAGGTGGTGTGAAGAAACCTCATCGTTACAGGCCAGGAACTGTTGCTCTTCGTGAAATTCGTCGTTACCAGAAGAGCACGGAGCTACTTATTCGCAAACTTCCTTTTCAACGACTTGTGAGAGAAATCGCCCAAGATTTCAAAACTGATCTGCGTTTCCAAAGCTCAGCTGTTATGGCACTACAGGAAGCCAGCGAAGCCTATTTGGTTGGCCTCTTTGAGGATACCAATTTATGCGCAATTCATGCTAAACGTGTGACCATCATGCCTAAAGACATCCAGCTGGCTCGTCGTATTCGTGGAGAACGTGCTTAATTTTTTCAACGTTGATACTTTAAACACTCGGCCCTTTTCAGGGCCACAATTGACTCATACGTGGAAATACTCTGTTTATATTACATATACTGCATCTTAGGTAGGATGTAATAGGGATATAGGGTTAGTGATGTTCTACATTGAAAAATTCAAATTGAATGGATATACAATATATTTATTATTAACATATTATCAAAATTGAAATCAGGTACTCTTTCTTACGTTGCTAACAGGGTTAACAATAAAAAAAATGAAATTCTTAACTATATTACAGTAAGTCTAGAAAAATCAAGAATTAGTTCAGATATTTAGAACATTCATCAATTCTATTTCGAAAATCTATACTAATAATTGCCAACGAATAGCTTATCCGCAAAATTTCAACATCAAACGAATGGTATATGGAACTAAGCGAAAAGTGATTTTAAATTTTAGTCGCAACAGAATAGCAGTTGGAATACTGTATTGACTAACAAAGAACTAACGAATATATAATTCCTTCGCAGCGAGACAAAATGGTGGCCCTGAGAAGGGCCGATTGAAGTATTTATCATGAGAAAAACTGATCGTAATTCCTCAAACTTATTTCTTTTTAGCCGCCGTGACTTTTTTGGGCACTGGTTTTTTCGCCTTAGCCGGAATTTTCGTCTTCCTCAGATTCTGTTTCTTAACAGGAGTGACCTTAGCGATGCTCTTACTACGAGAAATCGGTGACGACGCTGCCTTAGCTTTTGGCTGTTTGGCAGCAGGCCCCTTAACCACTTTCCTCTTCTCATTAACAGTCACGGGCTTTTTGACTGGTGCTTTCTTCACAGGAGAAGCCTTCTTGGCGATTGTTTTCTTAGCCACTGGTTTCTTAGTTGCACTGCTCTTGACACTGGCCTTGAGTGCCTTAGACTTAGGCACCTCCAACTTCCCTGAGGAAAGCTTGAATGACCCAGCAGCGCCTTTGCCTTTAGTCTGAACCAATGCTCCGGACGCCACAGCAGTCTTGATATACTTCTTGATGAACGGTGCTTGCTTCTCAACGTCGACCTTGTACGTGGTCACCACGTACTTCTTAATAGCCTGCAGAGAAGAACCGCTACGATCTTTAAGATTCTCTATAGCAGAAATCACCATGTCTGCAGTCTTAGGATGCGTCGGTTTGGAACGTGGCTTCTTTGCTTTAGCCGCTGCACTTTTCTTTCCGGACGAAGCTTGTACTGCCGGGATGTTCGAGGCCGTTATCACGGCCGGCGATGTCACCTTGTCTGCCATTTTTGTTTTCTTCACTCCAATTCTCCCTCGGTAAATCACAATTCTTTGGTAAGCCAATACCAAATTTAATTAGTACTCCCGAATAATCCTTTATCGTACACCAATTTCTTTATTTACGAGATTTAGCTTGTTACAATCGTTACTACGAAGGAATGCACACTGCTGCTATCTCGCGGAATAAGAAGGTGGTTAACGCTCGGATCGCTTTACTAGTACGGCTGAGCACGGACCTTGAAGAGAGACCAGGCTGTGCTTGCACGTGGTGCGCATCAAGATAGAATGTGAACCTGGTACCCGTTTCAAGTTTGTCGGTGAACGTTTCGTTTATCCTGAAGGAATGTACGAGGTTGCGGTATGGCTTTTGCTCTTCTCCACAATGTATTCTGAGGGACTGAAAGTAATTTTGTAAAACTCGGCAGTGTTTTAAGGTGAGGAATTGATGGTCCGTGAAGCGTTGCGCACTTGTCGCGAGTGCATCCTTGATAAAGAAAACGTTTTAATTGACCTTGAAAGACATTTACGAAATACGCAAGGTTTTATCCGATTGGTTTATACCTGGAACTTAACGTATCGTTAAATTTTCACTCGATTCTTCACGTCTGTCGTGATTTTCATTCACGTTTAAGGTCGGCTGCAGTTCGCTCCGAGTGCTTGATGCTCTTTTCGCACTACGTAGTTTCCATTGCAATTCATCTTCTACTGGATTCCTATTCTTTATGGTGATTTTTCTTGACTCACTGTCAATACTTCATTGGAAGTGTGTTAACGACTATGGCATTTCTTGAACTATATAGTAAGACGCCATTTGGCTATATTCAAAAAGACTAGCAATTTGTCGTTTTTTTTTTCAGATTATTCTCTTCTCATTTTGAGAATGTTCGAATCTGTCAATTTTTTATTTTTACATTATTCTATTCATTGATATAAAAATGACATTGATATATCTCATTGACTTGAGTGCATCAGACTGTTTGGATAAAATTTGTAAGTAAAGGAAAATTTGATCACCAAAATCTAGCAGGATCCAAAGGGATATAATAATTTTGAACTGGACGAAGCGTACCGTTAAAAATACATTTTTATTTCGTATTAGGAGACATTTTTAATGTTTAATATGTATATATATTTGTATAATATAATAACGCTATGCATATAATCCTATAGGATGACGTTACTTGTATGCCATCATGCTCGAAACGAGGGGTGTAATAATTAAATAGAAAATATTGCTTGTTATTTATCGATAATTCATCTTCATTATTTACAAATTTGAATTGGTTTCGCTTCGCATCCTTTTTTTTTCTTTTCTTCAAGTATTATTATTACCGGAGCACGATTCTCTCGCTCCCGGGTGTATTAATAATTAATTCGTTAATTGGCTATTAATTGTTACTATGTAGAAAGTAGAACAGATTTTCAAAGAAAACCGATATCTCAGCAGCGAACGTTCGTCGCCTGCCGCGCAAGACTTGCAATACAACCTAGTATTATACGATTAGAATACAGGACATTGCGCCACAACCCAAGAAGAAAAAATTGATAACTGCAAGACGCATAGACAGAAACGATCGACGAAACAAAATTACGGGAAGAAGAAATGCAAATGCGATGGAAATAGGAAAAAAGTATATATATATATATATATGCCAACAGAGATGGGAGAAATTTTGTACAGAGAAACATTCTCGCGAGTATAAAATATCTTCAACAATTTTCCTTTTCCTCTCAATCGTTTCGTCCATCGCACACCCACTCCTATGTTTCATATTTTTATTTGTTAGTTCTGTTTTTTTTTTCTTATCCACTGCTATTTTTTTCTCATCCCGGTATATCCGGCAAGAACTTGTCGTGCGACAAATTCCCGGAATACGACGGTACTTTTTTTTCATTTTTTTTTTCATATATTTTCTCTCTCTCTTGACTATTCTAAGCAATGCTACCCCTTCGTCCCACGCTACCCCTCTTCATCCCCGGCATTCCTTTTTTTTCTATTTTTTTTTGCATCCTTTGTCTACTTCTTTCTCACTAACGAAATGAATACTCATAAAATTAAAAACATGGACGGGACTGTCTCTACTCAGTCCCATTAATAAATACAAGAATTAATCTATTTCTTTTCATTTTATAATGACAGACCGCGATTAATCCTCGAGGGATTCGTCAGGGACAAACGAACAATTTATCAATTTGAATAATACATCTATCACCTTTGTCCGAATTAAAGATATTCAAGAATAGCATTATTAAATATTAGACGGCGATAATAATTCATTAACAACAATAACGGACCGCCGACGAATTGTTCGAGGACATACAAGAAGCTTTTAGTGTCCGTCTACTAGTAATACTAAAAAAAAAAGTCGCATAACCCTTAGGGTTGTCCTTTGTATCTTCGTTTAAAAAATGGCCACAACAGTCGAGTCCTATGTGCGAAAATATGAAATTGAAAAAGGAGATAAAAAGAGAAAAAGAAATTATTAGTAAAAGCTGATCATTGATAATTAGATCATTAGAGGCGTCGAGGTGAATTGAGAGATGAAGTATAAAGAAAATAAAAATGCAAGAAGCAGTGATAGTACGTAGTAGTAAAACAAAGAGAAGCACACCGTCGCTGCAGCAAAAATGTTTCTTTTACAATGATTTATGTCCAGAGACTCTTTTCTCTTTCATCTCCTGTATCTTTTTTACTTGATCTGTTTTTTTTACAAGATTTATGATCGATGATTCAGAGAATGGCGCATCGATGACAACATTCTTTAAATTACATGTGAACGGGCCTTTAAGCCATATATGTTATTCATCAACGATTAATTGATATTGACCTCCACGCTAATACAGTCAATTATTAACAGTACAAATTAGATGGTAGGCCATTTGTGAAGAGCACCAGAATAATAACGTTATGTGGATTGTCAGTAACTTATCTGTCTGTATTAACGTGGAAAATATCAGGACGCGTTCTGTAAATCTTGACTGGAAAATATTTAGAAAACATTAATTCTCTTTTTCTTGAAGATGAAAAATTTGGTTAACGAAATTATGCACAGCCGTCGAGTACATAAAATCGACAACACGGACGATGTGAAACAAGAGACATGAAAGAGGGAGATAAATTAATTGGCGGATTAAAGCAGCCAATGAAAGAAAGTGAATTGAAAAAAAAAAAAACGCTAGAGTGTACAATTTAATCACGTAGCGTTAATAAAATAATCGATAGAGCTTTACGTAATATATCCGTTCGCTCTTTATATATATATATAAATATGTGTATATTTATATATAAATATATATATATATATATATATATGTTCATATTATATACCATCTCATTCGTTAGTTTGATATTTCGTATAAATTTAAAAAATTCCATTCCGTCCACTATGATCAACAATGTACAATACATCTCGCTCGTAAAAATTTCTTGTGAACCTTCCTTTACGTTCGCTTTGCGTTTCCTCTCGTTCATATTATATACCATCTCATTCTGAAAAAAAAAAAAACGCTAGAGTGTACAATTTAATCACGTAGCGTTAATAAAATAATCGATAGAGCTTTACGTAATATATCCGTTCGCTCTTTATATATATATATAAATATGTGTATATTTATATATAAATATATATATATATATATATATATGTTCATATTATATACCATCTCATTCGTTAGTTTGATATTTCGTATAAATTTAAAAAATTCCATTCCGTCCACTATGATCAACAATGTACAATACATCTCGCTCGTAAAAATTTCTTGTGAACCTTCCTTTACGTTCGCTTTGCGTTTCCTCTCATCGATTTCCATAACAAAGTAAAATTGACGTTACAAATGACAATTAAACCCTAAGTAATAAATAACTGTCATACGGGAGCGTCCACTTGTCCTATTTCATTCTGTATCTCTGTTATATAATAGCTTTTCATCTCTTTCGTTAAAACGGAACACTTTTGCAGTCTTGGCACTATCGCCATTTTTATGTATTATGCATTAGTTACTTTAGTTAGCTGCTTTATCGACCGATAGAGAATCGCATTGTCGATTCAAAGGTTACAAAATTCACGTATTATCGGCGTATAAAAAAATGAATCTTTCAAAATCTATATCAAATCGTGATAAGACTTTGTTACTTCTTCGGCGAATTGAGGAGTCTTTCGCGTTCTTTCTCCTCCTCAGTGAAGAATATCCTGGTGATAACAATATCACCGGTGCTTAAAGTCTGACAAGCCACTTCCTTCATTGTCTTCATTTCTTTTTGCGTGGGCGAAGACTTGCTTGACTGACAATTGCAGGAACACTTTACTGACATGGAGTTCTCGGTTCCCGGTAATGGCGTGTCAGTCGTAGGTCCAGTGACAGCTGTCAATATGGCTTCCAGTCTTTCAATCTTCTCCATTCGGTCCATTTGACCGTCCGAGAGGATTTCGTCAACCATTTGCATGGATTCCGTCAGACTTGGTGGTTCTGAGTTCCTAGGAGATATCACGCCACCTGGTAAAAATAATAAAATTTATATTAAAATGATAGTTTCCATTTTCATACGGCTCAAAGGCTTTTAAAGCTTTCAAGCTTCCTTTACCGGAATGAGAATTGTCCGAGGTGCAGCTGTCCAGGCTTGGATACTCCGCGTCCCCGTTCCTCTCATCGTCATCATCGTCGCTGCTGTCGCCCTTGTCCTGTCCCATGCTTTCTAGTTTCTCCAGTTTCCTAGCGACCTTGTAGCTTCCTTTGAGCTTCTCCTTCTCGTCTTCCGTCAAGGCCAGATAACGTAGCAACCTGATTTCTCGATTGCTCAGGACAATGTTCTTTCCGGTTGTCTCTTCCATCCTCTTGCGCAGATCCGCCACTTCCGTTTCCACCTTGCGCTGCTTCTTACGTGCCTTCACTTCTCCAGGCTTTATATGCATCTGGACCTGCTCGTCGCAGAGTTCATTGACAAGTGTTTGAAACTCTGGTTTTATCAGTCTAGGACAGAGAATTGGAAACACCAATAATAAGTTTAACTCTTAATTGAACGTTAGTTAAATTAAAAGATAGATAATCACAAAAATGAGTACTCGAATAATATTCCTTACCTAGACATGGCCGTGTAGATCTGGGGCACCAGACTAAGGACGTCACAACTCGCGTAGATCAACATGTCCCTGGTCATAGGTCTTCTCGACCAATAACGTTGGTCTCTGCGATAGATATTCTTAAGCTGCTCCTTAAGCGGATTGCATGGGGCACCATATAATTGACAGAGGGCGTTGAGATTTACGTTTTTCACCTTGTAGACGGGTTTTCCGGTCTCTTGAAATTGGAGGACTGCATGCGCTGCCTGGAAGATTATAAAGTGTAAATATGTGTGATTCATAAATGAAAGAAATATATTAATCAAAATTCTTTTAAATTATAAATAGCATGCAATTACATACCTGAGTGTCAAAGACATTGGTGAGGGTGATGCCAAACTGATTGAAAAGATTAACGCTGTCGTTTCTGCAGTCATGAATCACCTGAAAAACCATATTGTTTTTTTTGAAATTACTATAACAATTGTATTATATTCCTTTATGAAATTGTTTTGCCCCATAATGGTACAGTTGTCGTTTATTATCAATTACTAAAAAACCTTATCTGTCAATTTGTCATTGATCTATAGAATTTCAAGGCATTTCATTATGTGTCGTATGACTAGCTTAGAGTACAAAGAGAATTCAGTATCTCACGAGTTTCTTATGTCGAATAAACGAAACAAGGGATACGGAACGAAACTTGTATTTTCCCATGAAGGAAATGATCCAACAAGTTAATTTCCTTTCACTGCGTTGAAGTCCCATAAGAATATAGCCAATTGAATTTTTTCCTGTCCTGCGGATATACTGCCAGTCGTAGAAAGTCTTGTGTAACAGTAGTAAGATTTTTTTAAAAAAGCAAGGTCGTGTTATTTTACATTTAAAAATTGGAATTTTTTAAATAACAAATAATTGAGCTTCAAATACTTTGTGGTAGAAATTGAAGACAAATGACTAAAAGATTATTGGAGTGCCTGTGACCTTTCGATCGTTACGGGTAGATGAATAATTCAACAGGGTTCCTGTCAAGTTTTCAGATTCAGAGTGAAAAATTCTGGATTCCATTAGAATTTGTTAGCGCCTCCATTTCTGGGTAGTATTCAATTTTCACATCTGTTCTTGACGCAATGATCTATACCGATAACATAGAGATCAATACACTTCTTTCCTTTAAATTCATTCTAAATGAACATAAGAATTTAAGGTAAGATAAAGAGAAGGATCAAGAAAATACAAATTGTATACTAAGGATTTCAGTATCGCTACAGTTTCTAGAAAAATTGCGTTGGACGCCTCCGCGACTAATTAAATACAGCAATTCCCCATGTGGTCGTCCTTGACTCAGCATACTTATCGAACTAGCAGCTACTAACAAAGGTGGCAACGAAGAGAAGGCAACATTTAAAATACAGTCGCCCAACACCTTTTCAGTGACATTCAGATCTGTTTTCCCCAGAACATAAAGGCCCTGGAACCACGTAATAATAATAATGTCACAAAGTGCTAGCAAGATATAAAACAATAGATCCACAGAAATAGAAAACAAATAACATTGTGTAATAAAAAAAAAAGAATCCTGTAGGGTCACGAGAGTTGGTTAAATATTACAGAAAATTGCACCCGTGGTAAACCATAAGACGGTTTTGGTCTCCCATGAAATGATAATGGGGTATCCTTATATACGTGTTGGCTGGCTCGTTTCTTTCCACTGGAACGTCTTTTCAAAAATTCAGTAGGATATCTAGGGCGTCCCGTGGGAATTTTGTGAAAGACAAAAAAAATTCTACTGTATCAATGTGCCCATATACGTGGTCTGCCACATACAAGATCCAAACATTTTAACATTTCCAAGAGTAATATTTAACCTGTTATATGTTGGACGTTGTATCGCACAGTAAATAAATATGTCTATCCCAAGAGAATGAAATAGAAACCAAGTGTCTCCATACGTTACTTAACTCATATGTATCATTGTACAAGAATCTAATATCCATAGTACACCTATGTATCCCTAAACAGATACGACCACTGCAGAAAGGTTTCCTCTACCATAAGAAAGCAGATAGGGTTGAAAAGAGCAACCCTTGCAAGGTCTCCTTGTTATTTCCAGCCAGTGACCACAGCTATCTGGGTCACACCTAGGTGCAAAGACTGTTACCAGAAGTTTACTCAATTTCTGATATAGAAAATAAAGAAACAAGTCTTTGGCAACGTTAGTCTTGTTCTATATTTACTGTGGTTGTCACGATAATTTAATTCTAAACATTCGCAAATTTCGACTGATTCCACTTTCTACGCGTTCGGATGTCTCGACACTGTTCCTCTGCAAATTTAATAGCGCTGCAAACTTTCACGGCTGTCGTTTTTTATGGAAGTCAACGAGGGCGCTTTTCTAAGCGATGTCGTTGTTGTGACCGATTCTCATTGCTATTCCTGACGCAGGTTCAGGTATTGAAATTGGATCTCATGATCGCAATGGAATCGAATTGGTATCGATAGAAGACTGACATATCGGGATTATCATGTTCACCAGTTAGATGGTTACGTGGTGCGTGTCGTCCATGATGGATCCAGAAGTCTATTTTTGGTAAAATCGAATGTTTCGCAAAAGCCTTCAGGTCGTGACTGTGTTAGTTGTCTAAAATTAGAATGATCGAGCGTAATGATTTCTCAGGGTGTTCATAATGCGAGACACCTGAGGAAATACCACGTTTTTTTTATCGATTATACGCAAGTGACGTATATACATATATTTATGTCCGTGTCAAGCGAGCAGGAAGCTAAATTTCTCTTTGAGATGGAATTAGCTAATTATTCTGTCATTCCTGATGTGGGTCTTCTGAGCTCTGTGAGTTTTCTGTGATATTTTCAAAAATCATTTCACCTTTGTATCCCTCGACATTTAATGCATTGGAACTTGGGAGAACCTATAAGAGGAAAAAGGTCGTCAGGCAGGAAAAGGGTAGAAATCGAAATTTTCACCTTGGAACATATTTCACGTAACTTTAGGAGACTGGGAAGACGTAACTTCCGGATGAGTTTTACAGCGCCGGCGCCTGGTACTGCCTTACGTTCTTAGTTATTCCCATGGGATGGGATAGACGTATAAAACATTTAGAAGGCACAGCTAGATCCTATATCTTGAACTTTCCCAGGATAGCTACAGCGTACTAATAGGAATAGATGATCTCTTCAAAGATATGCTCTGTTTCAGGAAGAACCTTGGTATACAAAAAAAAAAAAGGAACAAGAGAATCAACTTCGAGATGCAAGGCTTACCTTAATAACGTTTTCACTCTCTAGGAGTTTCTGGAGTCCTCCGGCTTGCACCAGGTTTGGACAGGTGAAGAGGTCAAACGCATAGACTTGGCCGCTCATAGTACCAATCTGTAGAAGAGTCAGTTTGCCTTTGACTCCCAGATTGATACCCTCACAATCAAAGGATACGACTACTTTCCCATCAGGTGGTGGCCTTCTAGGATTTATGATGTCCTCGACAATTTGAAGACTTTCTTTAGGATTCACTATTACTCTTGTCTGCTGGAGTACTTTCAGCTTCCAGGCATCACCCATCTGGGCAGTCTGGAGACTGCGATCCTTTTCAGTATTATCTGCCAGGGTCTTCATCACTAAGGTGTTGATCCTCTGCTTCAACGTCTGTTGCTGAAGACTTACCGGTGGAGAGTTATTGTTACTTTCATTTGAAGATGGCGACACGTTTTGCAGAGAGTTTGGCTGCGAAGCCGAGTTATTCGACGTGATGGAGTCTGGTTGGGACGTTGTCTGGGAAGCAATTTGTATAGGACTGGCAATTCTGATTGACGACTGAGCACTAGAAGTATTATTGTTCTGATTTGTAGCCTTAGGAGGATCAATCGCAAAGCTCTTAGGCTTATTTATCAGAGTAACCATGTTACTCTGAACATGAAAGGCATCGGAGAACATCTTAAGGAAGGTTGATAGATCCTGAGGTGTCTTGAACATCGACGTCCAGGTCTCCTGAGGAAATACACCAGTCAGCATATGAAACAATTGATCCACAAGTATTGGCCCCTTTTGCTCGATGGTCTGGGCAAAGAAATCCAGTAGTCTTGCGGTCACTTCCGGATCTATTGGTATTTCCGGTTCCAGTTCTCTAAACGGCTGCTCTGCCTTCATACCCTCATACTGTTTTAGAATGACATTGTCCTCGGTGACGACAAAAGCATCGGGATATTTTAGAAGGAAGTCACGAAATTCCTTGTAGTGCTGACCGGATATGTGCCGCACTTCTGGGGATGCTTGTGATCTGTGCCCCAGGAGACTTTTAATTGGTACTTCAGTACCTACTCCGTACTGCATTAGCTTATTAGAGAAATACTCGACGGCCTCTCTTGCATAATCTCGCTTGCCACTGAGTTTACTGCCATTGTCTTCTTCGACGACCGGCTGGAAGGCGTTGACGAAGACGTAGTCGCCATCGATTAGAAACAAAGCTGGATACTGGGCGAGAAATTTTTTTAGGCCACTTTGAGAACCACCAGCAATTTGACGCATTTCTTTTGTGAACCCTTTGGCGCCGAATTGACAACTTAGATCGTGTAGCGTACGGGGACCGCCCTTGTCCATCAAACGTTCGAAGAAGAAGAGTAGCGTCATGTTACGTACTAGCTCGTACTCTGAACTATCCATTTTAAGAATATCTTCTTTTTATTTCGTCTAATGCTTGCGTATTGCTTTTTTTCTTTTCTTCTTTTGGGTCCTCTCTTCCTCTTCTTCTTCTTCTCTTCCTCTTCCGCTTCGTCGGGCTACGATATCGCGTGTTGACCCAATTTATATTTAACGTGCTCTTTTCTGGTAATTACTTGGCTGCAATTAAATAAATAGAATTGGAAATTAAATGATGGATAATTTAAATTGAATAATTATTTTTGGGCAAATTGTACAGGGTGATTCAGTTGAAGTGACATTCGCCTATTAGTGGGTATAGTGTGTTAAACAAAAATGAATGCCAATCTAATAATTTCGTAGGTGAAAATGAATAAGTATGATGATATGAAAGTGAAATTCAAAGTTAGCCATTGCTATTCATGCTTTCCGGTCGTTGATGAATCTTAGCTACATAAACATCCGACTTTCAATATCGATAACTTTTAATTATCAACGGGATATCGCAAAGTATTACTTTAAGCTTATTAATTTATATTATTTATTGAATACCAAAAACGGTCATTATTTTATCAAACTGGAAGTCTTTTCGGACAAACTAACGATTACGGTAAGAACATTTTCTATTATAGATTAACTTTTGTTTTATACAATTGTCAATACACGTTGTATTTTAAAAACGAATTTTACTGATCACTCCCGTTGAATCACCTGATACAGATAAATTATACATAAATAAGTAAACTTTTAACATATACTCTAAAACATAAGTCCATATCAAATATCAAAAGTGACTGTTATGTAAAAAGAATTTAAATAAAAATAAGTATTAATCCAAAATATTAAAACAAAAATTATAGAAATAGTGAGGAATTATAATTGTGGTGAGACAGAACCATTGAAAATTTACGTGGCACTCCGTGACGTACGTTTCGGTAAACTAAACACTTGAATCAGTATTGCGAGGACAAATAATTCCTAAAATTGAATAAAATCCCAAAATATATATTAGTGGATTCGAGGTTAGAAAATTTTCAAAAATTCTTATCGAATCACTGCGCCAATACGATCTCATATTGTCAATGGTAAATTTAAGTGACCAAATGACCCATTCACCGCACTACACTCCATTTATATTGTCAAACATATATTAAAATGCATAGGTGGGCATGCTACCTTGGCAGCAGTGTCTGGCAGGAAGAATTCCTAGCCCCGATTAAATTCAGGGCGAGAATACGTGCCGTCCGAGTGGAGGAATATCCACGAAAAGCTTTTCACAGTAACGTCGCGTGCGAGGAGTCTTGACCGCGAAAAGTTTTCCGGCTTTTCCCGCAGCCGCACGGTCCACGCACTGCCCGAGCTAGCACTACGACATTTTCACGCGAATTCTCAGCAGCGCCATATTGGCCCGAAGAGCCACAGGAATTTGTTGCGCTACATCGGGTCAGGTGCAGAATGGAGCGAAGTGAAGTTAGCGCCGTCTGTGGCGAATGACAATAGTAATTTGTTTTCTCCCCTAGATTGTAGATAGCGCCAGTGGGCGGCATTCCAAATCTGGACGAATTCAAACGTGTGATGATATTTTTCTTGATTGCGTTTCGATTTTAATTGATCGCGTATGATCCTTATTTGAGATTTTTTCTTTGGATGTTATTCAACATATAGATAAATAGTATTTGACTCTTTTTTTTTTCGTTGGAATTTATTAGTATACTTACCGTCTATACAAAATTTTAACTATACCTTCAATCGATGAAAAATTATTTCGGTATTGTAACTTCATATGCTCATCATATCTGCTGTTGGTTTGCTATCTTATTCAGTGATTATGCTATTTTTAATTTGATGTTTAAACAGTTGCTAACGGGAAACACAAAGTATAACTTCAAAACATCAAATATTCGCTCAACACGTTGGCGGGACTATAACTATATATTAGAGTAGCACTAAATAATTTAACAAATGTCGAACTACAGAAAATCACAAAGTTTCTCTAACAATACCTATTAAATATTGACCTACTTGCACAGCAATAAATTGCGAAGCTACTGTAATTTAGAAGAATATTTGTCTTTGGTGGTAACTAGCGCCTCCCGTGTTGTACTACGATAGTCAATATGAGATTAAATGTGTTCTATTAAATATTTGTAGAATTTTCAATTATTACAACAGTTCTTTTAAATATATTTTTTATATCCAAATACAAAGATTTTTACAAGAAACGTTTGATTTATAACAATATTTTTCTTCTTCTTTATAATCTATACTACGTAACTTGATATACGTAGGAAAGAAAGGGGGACGTACTGGATTGTACTCTCTAGTTCCTGCAAAGTGGCTTTTAGTTCGCCGCATTACGCCATTATTTTTAACCTGCGTTTTTAGTCGTGCAATTCCACGAGTTTGTGACAATGAGATTGCATTTAACATGCATCCTGCTGATAGCAGTGATTTCAGTGCGCGGAGATGTTTCGGTAATTGGTAAGTAATTTTATAATATTTTTATTTATGAAATCTTTTAGTTATTCGACTTCAATTTTCATTACATATGGATTTCTTTGTTTTATTCTGTCGGAAATATCATGTGCAGTATTTCCTATATTTATTAACAACCTGTACAACGATATTGCATTGTCAGCACGATTATTTTCTGTCGCGCAGTTCTGCCAAGTTCATGCGGAGCTTAACCTATTACTGTCGATTATTTCAGTTCGTATCAAAAAACCTGTGTTGCATATGTATGTATATATTATAACTCATACATACTAAGAATAGTTAGAAGTCAGTGACCAAATTATCATTAATCACGTTTCTCAATGTCACATCGATACTGCCTACTAAGGCTTTTATACCTTTCTCATTACATTCTTTACTTCATTTACCTACTACATCGCAAATGTATACTAGAAAATTTCGTTTTCTATTTGATTTTTTCTTTCATGTAGCATATCCGTCAGCATAACGATTTTATATTGGCAAGCAACCGCAATTCATATAGTAATGCTGACTGTACGTACAGTGCAACATTGTAGTCAAAAAAACTTAAATGTATCTTTTTCTTTTATGTTTATCCTTAAACTGAAAAATCGTTGGGTGTGTTTTTTTTGTTTCAAATTCATTGTTTTTTTAATTTTTTTAAAATCGTTACATTGTATCGTAGTAATTTTATATTTTGCTACATGTTACCGCGAAAGTATCAGCCTCGTTCAAGATTACTGCTGTTGAACGAACGATAAAAGATATACAGAATTTTCGAAGTAATATATACTGTTTACAGTATTTGTGTGAATCTCTTAAAACATTAGATTTAGCAATTCACTTTTTTTTTTGTAATTCGAAAACTGGTTAGAGTAAAAATTCAAGTGGATATTACAATCACTGTAGTTTTTTTGACCTAAAGTATGCTGGGATAATGCTGTATCAGTTGATAATGTTTCATGTAATATGATATATTGGCTTGTAGATAAAAATTGCAGATTATATTACAGCCCTGATTTATCATGGAAATATTTTTGTTTTGGATATACATTCGTCGTATAAACGTCATTTTTTGAAATACAAATAGAATTATTTAGTCTTTGCCATATTGTGTGTGTATCCTGAAGTTCCAAATTACTTCAACAAATTACGATCGAAACGGTAACTCGCCGGATTCTTCAAATTGAGTGACGTCAGATATTTTGGCCAGACTTTCAATATTATTCATAAGTATTTTAATACCGGGTACTTTGTATGGCTGCCTGGTTTATATGGTTATATTTAGCATATAGCTAACTTGATAAAATGGTCAAGTCAACAGCATTGACGTTTTACTGTAGAATATATTTACTAGAAAATATTTTTTTACACCAAAGTAATTTTGGCATAACTGTCTAATTAAAAATAATATACCAGATGTCACTTACTCTGAATTGATTGGTTTACTTTGCCATAGTATCATCCCTGCCTTATAGTGTTTAGAGACAAAATTAAAATATCTAGTAGAACCTTTTCTTCGTACTCAGAAAGTGTTCTAACGAGTACTCTGCAAAGCATCTCGTCTATTGCTGAATTATTTTTGTTGTTTAAAAACATTCGCATGATGTTAACATTTGTTCTATCTACCAGGATATAAGGCATGTACAACACAGGCTATTATTATTCCATATAAATGCAGATGTGTCATAAGCTGCTCTAGCTCCTTTGTGTTGATACCGATATCTTACATTCCAAACGTAGAATGGATGATGAAAGTTCTCTTCTGTATCATTGCAGAAGAAGGTTATGATGATTCAGTTTCATCTCATAGGAGAAACTAGTACTGATAACGTGCTGCAAGTTTGTACCAGGTGATCTCCATGAGACTAGTTGAAAGCCTACCTACGAATACGAGTAATAGTTTTCCTTGTATTTAGTAGGGTTCAATGAGAAGTCCTGCCAGATGATAATGAAACTTTCAATCAGTTTACAAATATTTCTTCTCTGGTCCCCTAGCATTATCATAATGGATTAGTATAGTATTGATTCAACCATTTTTGTGTATTGATATATTGAAATTATCTTCAACTGGTTTAGCAAATGGTTTTGATTTTTGATAAGAGTGCTCTGATAGTTTCAGAATTTGCTGGGAATGTTTAGAATCAAGCTTAATCCACTTTGTAATTTTATTACCAAGAAGTTTCACAGCAGAGCTGTATTGATCAATTATTAGCAAATCGTATTTGGTGAATATACCTTTTAAATATGGACTTGTTTACTTTCTCTGATAGAGAGAAAGTCTTAACAAGCAGGGTTGAATGTACGATGGCTTTTGCAACTGCCAAAATTCTTTTGCATCGAATCCATGCTGTAGGAATGTATGAGTGCAACTTTAATCACATCAGATTTGTTGACATTAGACAAATTTTTCAATCGGCAAAGTACTGAAACATACCTTCTACTCATTGTAAAAATATTTTGTGAATTCAAAACGCTATAAGACCTGTAAAAAATTATAAGTTATTTTTCTAGTAAAATTTTTACTATCACTAGTTTTACTAGAAAAAATAGATTATCTGTTTAGAGAGTTTAAATAAATCTAACGTAAATATCAGTAGAGATAGCTTCTCAATTATAAATCACCAATAGGATCTTCCTTAAGTCCAGCTTGGCCATTCGTCATGCAAAATTGTAAGGACATCAACTCCTACAAGATTTAAGGAAATCATCGCTCTGCTTGAACATAATCGTAGGCACTACCGGAAAGATTGTCACCACACAAAAAATCTTAAATCTCTGTTAAACCATTTCGACCTCTTGCAACGTCGGCATTGTTTGTTTTGCATTCCAATCGTTTCATGGTCATAAAAAGTGATTGTCCTGTGTTCCTCCACTGGTCGATCACGATGATTGAGATCCATATCTTCTGGTACACTACTATTCATGAAATACTGTAAGTGAACGGCAAACCAATTCCATATGAACATTTGAAAGTCAATTTGCGAATATAGACAATAGTTTTTAATTTTCGTCCTTCGGAATAGAATTATGTGGAATTTTTCAGTGGCGCCATCTGACGGCATTATTTTGTGTTAACTTACAAATATATACTTTGTCGGTTCTCCAAATTGATCATAACGAAATAGCATATTGTTTATAGTAAACTCGCTATGTGCATTTTCACAAAAACGTTAATTTTATTTATGGAACAATTTTAACTGACAGTTAAAAACTATTAACTGCCATAACGTTATTTAGATCAGAATTTAAAAAGCCATTAAGGTGAGTGTTCTTTTGAAATACTGAGAGATAATAATAATCTAATCTATTATTTACCTTTACTATTTTACTATTAAGTGTTCCAGTTTGTTTTTCTATTTTTACACGCTCAATCTCATATATAAATTACAGTGTATACGTAGTTCTTCTCTTGATGTCAATCTGAATACATTTTGAAGGTTATTTGTCAATAATCGCGCAAGATGCGCACGACCGTGAAGAGAATGATAAAAATTGCAATATCTTTCCAGTCATTTCATATTGGCTAACAAAAATTCACCAGGTATCAGGTATGATGACACAAAGTTGCATTACACTTGTTATAAAATTTGTCATAAATTAAAAAAATTAGCCGTTTAAAGTATTACAAGAATATTGTTAAATTTTCGTAAGTGCCTCGCCAATTCGTTGTAATCTTCACACATCGAGTAGTCCATTTTTTTCAAATTCAGAAATTCTTCTAACGAGTATCTCACGGTAAAGTTCATTTTGTAATGTTACGTTATTTTGTTCTTTCATTAGTTCCTTCATGTTTAGATTGGCTTTATTCTCGAAAATTATTAAAGGTAGTACTATAAAGGTTGCAAATAGGCCAAAAATTTCCAGTCGTTTCATAGCCTTTTGTAGCTCTGGCAGCGTCGGCGTCCGTGTTTTGCATCCCAATCGTTTCATGGTAATCAAGAGTGATCGTCTGTATTCCTTCAGTAATCGATCACCATGATTGATATACACATCATCAGGTACACTGGTGTTTATGAAATACTGCAAGTCTGCAGCAGGCGAGCTCCAGACGGACATTTGAAAGTCAATCTGCGGATATAGGCAATGGTTTAGAACAATGTCAGCGGCGCCATCTGACGGTGACAATTTGAACTAGCTTACAAGTTTATGCTCAGTCGGTTCTCCAAATTTGTCATAACGAAATAGCATATTGTTGATCCAATAATCGCCGTGTAATATCACATTGAAGTCACTTTCCATTGGCTCTAAGGCTTCCCCCAGTTTTCGATAGAAATGTGGTGCGAATTTTATTACCTTCTCGCTATATTTTGGATCCAACTCAGGCCAATCAGCGATGTTCTTACCGACTTGATTAATGGCAATAGAGAACATTTCACCCATCTCTGGTCGTTTTTGAAGATACATATTTTTTGTGTACAATGTCCTGTGTTTTGGATCCTAGTAAAGGGAATACGAAAATTTGTATTATAGAAAATATATAGATATATTAGAAATCAATATTTTCAGCTATTTCTCAAACAACCACGTAATTTTTTCTTTGGTGTCATAAACTTGTTATTCAAATGCCGTCCAAGGTGTCTAAGTTCAAACCTGCCTGCTCACAGACTGCAAGTGAAGTCGCATGGAACTTGCCCAAATTTTGAATTGCCAATAAGCTGTGTGCCAAGTCGAGTCTCTTGTGAGAAGTCGCCATGCGAAATCCTAATTGCGTCAAATCTTCCATAATCAGGACGGGTATCTTCAGACTCGCATAAATATGTCTGGGTGATAATCGTTCATCAGGTTCCAGAAGTTCGTTCATCTTCTTCAGGGTGTTCGTCATCATGGTAATTTCATTTATAAATACTCCCGATTCCTCGACCTGAGACATGAAAATTCAAATTAAGAAAAGAAAGGTCGTTTATTTTTTTTTTTTATTACTTATATATAAGCAGACACGTATGTATACGTATCTTCAATTCTTCTTACCATCTTGATAAGCTCTGGTATCTGTGTTACCATCGTTTTCATGATTAACGAAATTTTTTCCGATTTATCCCCGCGATTTATATCTACTTGAATTCTATGGACCTCACTTCCATAATTGTCACCTGCGCTGGTAGCAATTTTTATATCGAATTTCGTAACGCTGATCGTACTATCCTTTTCGGATTTTTTCAAAATATCCTCAAGGAATTCCTTGTTCATCCACGATAGCACGGTCATTATTTTTTTCTTTTAACAAACAGCCCAAGTAGTCACTGATTCTTTTTTTTTGTGGTTATTCACTTATTTTACGTAGGTTGTATATATTATTGACCAATCTCTTTATTTACTCAACTGATTTTCATGAAAACGTTATTTTTTTCGACAGACTGCCAAGAAACAAGTTTTGGAATCTACTGTCCAAACCGTACTAGGCCCGAATTTACATTTGGGCGTACTGAATAGTATAAGATAACATCTTGATAAGCAAGAGTCGCGTAGACAGGATACCTAGGATTATCAGTATCAGTAGCGATTAGAAATTGTTAACGATTATCGGTAGTGCGATTTCGTACGTTCCTCATGAGCGTGCGATATGGGATATATGGAAGTGCTCGGGGCTGGCGTTTTTAGGAACTTAGGCGACACAGGATTAAATGATAAAATAACAATTACTTATTAAATTATTGACGAAAGGTACCACAGGTTTTGAAATGCGTCAATTGTAATGGACAAAAGTCAGTGTCGGTATTGTAGGAAATGATTTTAAAGGAAGCGTCCTATATTTGTTTACTATTCCTATCTCTCTCTCTTGGAGGAACAAATTATGCGCCTGTGGTTAGTAAGGTAGCAGCCCTAGCGGCGCTTTGCCGAACTATTGGCTATGGCACTACGTGCGACTTGACTAATAACGGCGAGGATAATAGCTGGAAATCAATATGACGTAAACTAAAGTTTTTGAGGCAGATCGGTGGTGTACCTCAGTACGTTGACCCGGGCCCCACTTTGGTATAATCCTATCCTACAAATACTGATAATCTAATCTAAAATTTTGTTTTCACTGTTCAGTTGGCAAGTGGTCAGTACCACTTTAGCAGATAAATAATTTCAAACACGAATAGAGCTTAAAATCAAGGTCAAGCCAGCATCGTCATAAAGGAAAAAACCGAAAGAAGACATTACGATTAAGGGCTGATTTTAGGTTTATTTAATGCTGATTTGATAATGTAAAAAAAATTTTTTTTAAATTAAAAGGGCACTTATAAATATGTATTAACCGAAAGCTATGTACTAACTGAAATTTCGATCGATTGCCACTCCAGTGATATTCTTTACTTCATTTGCCCAGATCACCCGGATAAATGCCCCATATTTCTGTCAGACTTATCCTATCGCAAGTTATTGGATCTGGCCAGCAGCAATATTTTTCCCGTACTTACATTATTGAGTTTTTCTAATTAGTAAAAAATTACATAGCGGTAATCTTATAAAAGATGCACCATCATCGCGATAATAATGATTGCGATATCTTATCAGTAATTTCATATCTACTGACAAATAAAATAAAGATCGGATATAGGTACTTATTTGATACGTGATTCAGTGTAATCCTTGTGAAAATTCGTACACGACTTTTATATAAATTTTCACACTCAAAAATATATCCCTTTTACGTAATTACGCGTATAAAAGATTTGCCTCTGATATTTACACAAATTCAAGCATCTGATTACGGAATTACGCAGTTAATATTAACAGCAGCCGTCTTACGCGAGGAGTTATAGAAGTTTAAGGAAAAATCTTAAACGTGATAAGCACACTGTACATCGGATTCTGGAATTCACACGAGTCTAATGGTGAAAAGTACAAAAGTTTTAACTCGTGTTAAAGTTTTACTAGTAAGTCAAACGTGACTTACGTTCTCACTGAATTACCGGTACCCATTAGCACGCGCTTATAGGAAACCCTAGTATCCTCCTGGCGAGAAGGATATTAAATATTATTTATAATTCATCTATGAGAAAATTTTTCAAATTACCTTAAATAATTTTCCCGCAGTGTAACATAATATTTACATTACTTTTTACCACGCAGCATTGTCTTATCGTTTTTTTTTCTTTTTTCTTTTTCATTGGCAACTAACAGCAAGTGTGGGTGCAATTCGAACTGCCTTGAAACTCCATTCCCTTTTTTTTTTGACACCAGTTACATATGCGACGGTCTTTATAATCGCGCATCAAATCGATTACCATAATTAGCATTTACTTGGATGACTATTAATCTGGAAGACGTAATGCTTGGAACACGTGACTTGAATAATTATATATACACATATATATACCGTACTGACGCAACAGTTGTGCCGCAGAATGTCCAAAAGATTTTTCCGAGCTGCTCATTGAGCATAATTTCTAATTAATATTATTGACAAATATCCGTCCAAGTTTTCGGGACCGAATCTGCTGATTTACAAATCCAACAGACCCTTTTTCTCGTATTCCGGAACTCTCCTGAGCAGCACCTTGCGCAGTCTGTCGTTGTCGAACGAAGAGCTATTTTTATTTTCCATTATCTCCTTTAAGCTCTTGACGTCGTCCTTGTCCACCAAAATGATTGGCAATATCGTGAAGGTCGCTAACATTCCGCAAACTTCAAGACGGTCCATGGCCGCTGCCAGCTCTGGTTCGGTTGGCGGTGATCTCTTGCACCCGAAACGAGTCATCGTGGAGGAGAGTGTCTTTCTGTATTCCTGCAGTAGAAGATCTCGATGTTTAAGATCGACATCGAGGGATAAACTTGTGTTGATGAAGTATTGCAGGTCCAGGGCTGGTGAGCCCCACGATGGGATTTGAAAGTCAACCTTTAAAATTTGAACAAAAAGACTTTTTTTTTTAAATCTGAATTTCAAACAAATAAGTTTGCTCGACGCCAGATACAAATTTCTCCCCCCCCCCTTTTTTTTTTGTAAACTTACAAATATTTGCTGAACCGGTTTTCCGCTGTCATCGTAGCGAAACAGCATGTTGTTTACCCAACAGTCACCGTGAGTCAGTACATTAAAATCGTCCTTCTGTACCGTAGCGATTTCACTAGCCTTCCGATAAATGTCTTCGGAAAATTTTAAAATCTTTTTGGCGTATCGCTCCAATTCCGGCCAATTGGCCATTTTTTCAGCGAGAAGCTTCACGTTCGAACTGAAAAAGTTATGTACCATGTGATGGTCTTTTCCGTACATGCCAATCTGGTACAGGCCTATTTGCTCCGGTTCCTAAAATAAGATCGTCGCGGAATATGACGATTATTATTATTATTGTTATAATCAAAAAATTACAACTCATTATCAATTGACTTCCAGTCAACTTATTATCTGCGTCCGTTATCTATCAACTTATGACTTACCGCCTCGCAAACGGCAACGGAACTCCCGTGAAATTTGGCCAGCTGACGAATCGCCAGTAGACTGTGAGCCAGGTCGAGTCCGCCTTGACGATCCGCCATGCGAAATCCTAAAGGAGCCAGATCCTCCATAACTAGTAAAATCGGTTGTTCGAGGTTAGCATAGACGAACCGTGCCGAGACTCGATCTTCATCGCCAAGCAGCTGATTCATCTTTGGCAGGGTGTCCTTCATCATAGAAGTCTCCAGATCGAATATTCTCTGGTCTTCGATCTGGGCCCCAAAATTGTGAAATTTTTTTTTCTTCAATTTTATCCTTGCGCAATCACTCGTATCCTTATCGAACTACGTATCTTACCATCTCCTTGTAAAACTCGTCGACCTCCGTTGGCGTCGTCTTCACAATCAGTGACGTCACGCTCGTTTCACCCTTCCGCACCAGTTCCACCCGTATACGATAGATGACACTCGAATAATTGTCACCCTCACTCGTGGCCCTCTTCACGTTCATGTTCTTTATCCATATCGTCTCGTCCTCCTCGGACTTCCTCAGAATGTCCTGCATGAACTCTTTGTCCAGCCATGCTGGTACCTTGTCGGTCATTTTTGATTGATAGCTCAAATTTTCTATTCAATTTTTACTATCAGCTTTGAATTCGAGACGGGGGCAGCTTCGATCACTCCTTGGACAATTTATACTTGTTCTTGATTTTGCTGGTAAAACTTCATTCAAGCAGTCGCTGTTGCTGATAATACCCAGCAACACTTCATACGGTCTGGAGTCGATACTGAACTTCGTTGCTGGTGTCGACGTATTTATAGTGAGGAGATAATGGTAGCTTGGTACACGGGTAACTCGTCACTGAAAATGACAAGTAATATGTTGGCGGAGATGGGATAGGGGCGAGGGGTTAGGTGAACGTTATATAACTCCTTCTGTGAAATATCATCACGTAAATCGTACTATCATTATATTTAAGTAAGCTATGAGAACATTGCGAAACTCGTTATTTGTTATTTGTAAACGTATTGTCTATCTGGATGATAAATTATTAATGTTTTAGTTTTGAGGGTCCTTCTAGAAGGCTTTCACTTTTCTATAGCATATAATCTTTCGAATCCTCACTCGGGAATGGATTGGGACGTTCAGTATCGAAGTAGAAGAATCCTGGGCGTTTGAGGTTTAATGGGTGTACCAACCGAGGCGTTGATCTGCGCTTTTAACCTATTGGCAGTCGGTAGGGTAGAATTGTGATTTATGCAGATTGGCTTTAGCGCAGCGACGGTCGTAATGTGTGTTCAATACTTCCGAATGAACTTATGGACGGTAGGCGGTGCCTGTTATCGCCCCTATGTGACTCGGTGTGTATTACTTTATTTCGTGACCTCGTTCGATGGATACTCGCTAGTTGGAAGACACGTTTATTTACAAAAATTTTAGTAAACGTGCAATTCTTACGATTTATGGCTTTTGGTTTTCATTTCGCTAGTCGATTAATTCACGAAACTATCCTTAACCTCCAAACCGTTCAATCTGTGAATATCACGCGTTAGATATTACACGTAACCTTATGGTATGACATTTACATAGTCCATGGGTAGGGTCATATCTTTTTGTAGGTAGTAATCTGAGTAATCCGGAGTAATCTGACCTTGAAAAATTCATATGGGACATACAAAGACACTGGGGCATCCAAATTGTTTTTAAAAAATTCAAAGCTGAATTCGCCACAATGTAAAGTCCACGTAAAATCCATTGGACGATTAGGAGTTATTCAAATGCTAAATTAACCCCTCATTCAACTTTTCAGGCTCCCATCATCTTTGGTTAAAAGTGACACCCGTGGTGCGGACTGACTTGAGAAAAAATTGCAGTCTGCTCTGTTTCATGTAAATTTGACTTGACGTTTCTTCGCGGTTTCTCTTTTTTTTTTTGTAGTGGGATGAATTTTCATGAAAGTCTTAAAATTTTTAACCGTCATCTAAATGCACCACGGTATCGTTAATATTTAAAATTTCATAGATCAAGCAGTCCCTGCGCGTCGTATTCCGGAAGTCTCCTAGTGATGACCTTACGGAAATACTCGTTCTCGATCGCTGGACTGCTTTTGTCTTCCATTAGTTCATTCATGGTCTTGATCTCATTCTTATCCGCCACAATTAAAGGAAATATAGTTAACCCCGAGAGCATTCCGCATACAGCGACACGCTTCATGGCCGCTTTTATCTTTTCTAAGCTCGGCACTGCCGTCTTGCATCCTAAGCGTGTCATCATGGTTGACAGTGTTTTAGCGTACTCCTCCAGAAGAAGGTCGCGATGATTGATGTCCACTTCTTCGGAGGGACTCGTGTTCATAAAATATTGTAAATCCAGCGCGGGAGTTCCCCACGATGATATTTGAAAATCGACCTACGGGCACAACGGTTGATTACTGTTATTATGCGGTGGAAAGTGCCGGTGGCGCCATCTAGCCGTGGGACTCCGAACCAACTTACAAATATGTGGCCGGTAACTTTCCCACTATCGTCGTAACTGAACAGCATGTTATTCACCCAGCAGTCGCCGTGGGTTATCACATTGAAGTCGTCCTCCACCGTCGCCGCAGCTTCGACGCCTTTCCTATACGCGTCTTCCGAGAAGCGTAAAAGCTTTTGAGAATACTTGGAATCGACATCAGGCCAATTGGCCATTTTCTCAGCAAAGTTCTTCACGCTGAGTCCGAAAAAGTCAGCCATCTCCTTCGGATGCTCAGCGTTGAACATGCCACGGGTGTACATGCTCTTGTGTTTTGGTTCCTGATAAAAAAATAATAATAACAAAAACATGATAACGCACAATGTTAACAGTGGTTATGGTTTAATGTTCTTTCGGGAAAGTAGATAACTCGTGTAAGTGCACGAAAAAGATGTGATGCAACGGTGTTTCGTAATCTTGATTTTCCCTTATCAGACTGCCTAATTGTACCCGATAAGCTTATTTATATTTACACTCGTATATTTTTTGCTTTCTATTGTTTTTCACATATTATACCTCGCATAACTTGGCCGTTATATATCAATCTGCGTGAATTGGCCTTGTCATTGTTTTATCAGTAGCAAAAATTTTTTTTTATTTAACTGATATTACTAGATACACTTCTGATCATTATGTAGTACATCATTCGGATTGACTGATGAGATATTTTTTTACGATTGTGTACAAAATGTAATTCTTATGGAGTTTTACACTTGGAATTTACATTTTTCAGCTTTGGTATATCCTTGCCGTTGACTTGTATTTTTATACGTACGTTTTTAGTCTCCGACACTTCTTGGTATCGGCTAAAAATTTTGTTTACACAGAAAAATAGTCCTTTGCAAGTTCGGACCCTTAGATTTTTAATCGTTCCTACGAAATTTTTACCTTTCATTTTTTCCATCAAAATTCTCGTGCAACTGAAAATTTCGTTATTCGTATCGTTACTGCATGGTCACCCAGCTTGTTACGTGGTTCCAGTTGCGTTTGCCAGCTATTCGTTTGACACGCCTTATATATCGGATAAGTCACTCGTATACGTCATATTAAGATTTCACCCTCGGTGTCGATTATTCATCTCGTCTTTCCGCTCTTGGTAATCGCGTGCGTTATTTTTACTCTTATCATCCTCGAACGTTGTATTCAGTTGTTATTGTTCTTAGAGTTTCTTAGATACGAAGATTGTACACTGTCGCGCGAGTGGGCATTGGGGAATGCATATACAGGGTGACCCGAAGAAATAAACTCGTTGGAAGGAGGGTACTTTTTTAAAAATTTCAGGCGACAAAATTTTATCGTCCCTTATTCATTCATTCCATAAGTTGGTTATACTTTTAAAAAAAAATTTTTTTTTTTTTGACACCCGTCATACTCACCACTTCGCACAGTGCCACGGAGCTCGCATGGTATTTCGCCAGTCCACGCATTGTCAGCAGACAGTGCTCCAAGTCAAGTCCTCTTTCACGATTTGCCATACGGAATCCCAACGGGGCCAGGTCCTCCATTACGAGAATCGGGGGCGTCTCGATACGAGTGAAGATGCAGTCGCTCGAAATCCGATCGTTCGGTCCCAGGAGTTTATTCATTTTCCTTAAGGTGTCGTTCATCATCGATATTTCCGTGTGGAACAGTCTGGCGTCCTCGACCTGTGAGAATTTTGAAAATTGCAAAAGAAAATGAACTTCCTCATCAGAAATGCAACGTTCAATTTTTCATCACCATTTGTGGACGTGCACCTTCCTCCGTCGGAGCGACTTTCACCAGCACCGACATCTTCTTCGTGATCTCCCTGGAATTCATCACCCTTGTAATCTCCAGAGTCAGGCGATACATGTCGCTCGTGTAATTGTCCCCTTTACTGGTAGCGGCCTTTACAGCTATTTTCGTAACACGTATGGTATCGTCGTTTTCAGATTTTCGCAAAATTCCTTCGGCGAACTCCCTATTCAGCCATAAGGGTACTTCGACTTCCATTTTGAATTTGTGGTCAAAAAATTTTTTTGCAAGGTTAGGCAATTTTTTTTTTTTTTCAAATGCCCAAACTGGTTTTCTACAATTTTTTTTCCTGATCGGATTTCGGATCGTTACTTCAAAAACAGTCTTATACTCCGCACCGTGGCAGAGATATGCACCAGTGTGAACAACGTTACCTAGACGTAATGGACCCGATCTCCGTGGTATCAGCCTGAACTCTAACTGAAACTCTCCTCTCGTAGGCTCCCTCACTTATAGCGCGGTACAATTTCCGAGTAATTGCAAAAAATCAGTGGGGGCCCTGCGCGTCGTCCCCACTTATTATCAAGGAAAAATGACGATGATATAGTGACTAGAATAATTGTCAGGAATATTTGTTGTTTGACTTATCATCGTGGGAGACGTTTTTTTTATTTTACATTTTTACATTTTCCATCGCCTGCGCTCGAGTCCATTTATGAAGGATGCACTTATTTAGGTATTATAAAAAGAATTTTGAGATTTGGTTCTGCCGATTAAGAGTGTTGAAGTTGAAAAAAAATGTCTTTTTTTTTTTCGTATTTTTCAATCTTTACAATCTTGTTGCCATGCATCGAATTTTTTTGTCCTCGTGCTTCGAGCATTCCTCAGTCTTGCAGGCTCCTCGTACGTTTACGTCTTTGACGTAATATAGTGCAAGATTATATTTGACCGCAGTGCAGTTAAATCGTTGCGTTACGTAAAAGTCAAATAAATCATTTGTCTCTTGTCATTCCTAGTTCATACGTGTGACGCTACCTTAATATGTAGATCCTTATAATTTAATCCCCCGCTATTATAGGCACGCTAGTACCGTGCGCTGTGTATTGTTCGAATGTTTTCGTAGATTCACCGCGTATGCCTTGAGTTACGTGGATACGCGAGTAGAGAACGTAATTAAGATATGAGGGGTGCTGACCATAAAGTACAAAATTAGTGAGTTGGTAGTCTCTAATATTCTTTGTCCCAGCTGTTCGAGACCGGGAAATAGTGAACAGTGTATACTCGCCAAACGGATTGTCAAGAGCGTTACATAATCGTTTCTTTGTAATTATTAAAATTTCTGTTTACATAATGTTCATTTACCATATAGAGAATATAACGTGATCAAGTGCAACCGGTTTTTTTTTATTCACGTCTTTAACATTTTATCTTGTCATCGTTTGCTCAGTCAATCTTGTTTTATTCTCGTAAAAAAGTATTCTTATCTCTTGGATGGTCTCGTCTTCGTAGAAAAATTTTTGCAATTTTTATCTATATCGTTTTGTTTTTTTATTTTTTCTTTTATGGCGTTTCAGACAATACTACCGCAACGCCCAAAAATGTGACAGACAAGCCAGTTAGTGTACCGCCTGAACCACTTCCTACGACTACAAATTCGACCCCTAAACCAGAACCGACTTCTTCAGAAGCGCCACCGAATACAACTGCAGCTCCAGCAACAACAACGACAACAGCAACAACGAATGCAACCACAACTCCAGTACCTACTACACCAGCGCCTACCGAACCGACTACACAGAAAACGACAGAAGCTCCGATAACTACGACAGCCGTACCAAACACGACTAACACAACGACTGTTCCAACGTCAACGACAACCGAAAATTCTAAATCTTCGACTGGCTTACCTGTGACCACTGCGAGTCCCGACGCATCGACTCCGTCACCGTCCGAACACCGTCATTTCGACGGCTTAAGCTTTATGGGTAAATAGTTAATAATTTCGTAACTATATGAAATTATAGTGGATAACTCGTCTCTTCAATACTTTTCTAATAAATATATTCGTTACCTTGTTATCAGGTGGCATCATCCTGGCCTGTTGCTTCGTGGTAATCGGAGCTTTCTCATGGAAGATCTACAAGAACCGCAAGGATGGCAACTATCGCGTCCTTTGAGAGTATTCGTTAAGCTTCTATAAAACACCTTTAAAACATGTTTCTCAGTTAATTATATCTTAATGCTATGAATAATTATTTTAATTATAATAATATTGTGTATTTTTTTATAAACATAGTAAATATCGGACGTTCAAAGTGCTCTTAGTACACTGGTGTGCGGTTGCGAGGATATTATCTCTTTAATCTCATGTCTAATTACTTCAATAAGCAACTCTAAGTATAATATTGTGCGTGTACAAACTAACGAAAATCTCATCACGTCTATGTATAGTGTGTACCATGGTTACTCGAATATATTCTATGGAATAGGTGTGCCTTTTATTTATGGCCCTCTCGTTTACTCTATCTGATAAGATTTTCACTCTTCGCAACCTTAGATATATGCAATATTTTTTATTTTCACTAATACAAATTCTTTGTTCATTGTACTCGAGCGATGTGTTTCGCGGCTTTTTTTATAATTAGTTTGTAATAAGTTTGTTATCACTATTGGTTAAATATAAGAACGGAAGTTTGTGTTTAGTCGCTTGATTTTTTTGCCGGAAACTTAGGTTTAGCATTGACTACTCCGGAAGGAACGATTGCTAAACGAGTCCAACCGCCATCATGCTTTGTAGATAAGGATCCTAGTTATTAACGAATCCAAGTTGTCTAATGAAGTGTCAGCTGGTTCTTGGGAAAGTAGAGTGCGTGTTTGAAGATGATCTATGTCAGATATATGGCTGCTGTCTTAATTCTTGTCACGCATTTGTTACGATATACAAGGTGTCCACATTATTGTTGAGAATTCTGGATTTGATGAATTTAATCCAAAACAAGTGGTTGGTAATTTTGGAATATATATTATATTGGACGGGTAAATATTTAACGTTAGAGAAATATCGTGTAAATTAACTATTGTGAATTAACTACTTAAATTTTAAGATCTTTAATATCAATGACAAATCCTTACATTTATTTTAAGCTACCAGCAGATACGAATTTTCATCATTTCCATCATTAAAATCAAAGTCAAGCCCGAGACGTTAAAAGATTAATGCGCAAAAATCAAAATATTCGTTGTCATTTTGCAGCGTGGAAAATTGCGAGAAGAGATAATTTCGAATAAATTTTAATAATCCGTACTACTCAAAACAATTGTGTCTGGTAATTCGATTATATAAATACCTAAAATAAAACAATGTTTTGTATATCGAGAATTTGAACAGTAATTTCCTGATAACTAGAAAATAATGAAAATTACTTAATTCTACTTAAGAGTCGTTCACAAAGTTCACTAATTACAACTAACATGCCACGTTGCGTGTAAGATTTGGTTTGCTGGTTATTATTAATGAAATAATTTCACAATGAACAAATGATATGTTACAGAATGACATATCATAGCCGCCACATGACGTAAACGTCGGCCAGTCCTGGCCCAGAGGTATTACCGGAGATGGAGTGACTTGTGTAGTTCTAGATGACGGCATTTTATACACAAATTCAGATTTAGTACCAAATTGCGATGCCAGAGTGAGCGTCGATCTGACGGACCTATTGCGCAAATCCAAAGATCCATTTCCTAATGTTAACATGGACGATTCTCATGGGACTTACTGTGTAGCCATAATGGTGGCTGTGGCTAACCACAGTTACTGTGGCATGGGTGTAGCATTCAACGCTTGTATTAGGGGACATTCGTCTGCTTGGAAGTTTTTTAATTAATAATTGTTGTATTAAAAATCAGAGTTATTATCTGAATACATTGTTTTTTCTCAATGCAAGTCACGCAGGAGTGCTTAGAACTTCTTCAATATATCCCGTTGAGCAACAAAAACTTGTGATATCCCTTAAAAAAATCAAATTCAAAATCTCGCAGAATATATGGACTAAATAGAAATTTAATTAAAATTGTAGAATATCGAAAATAAATTACGTTCACTTCCTTATTTCTTTATATTTAATTTTTTATTTTTATACCCCTATTCCTTACTTTTTTACTTTTTAATTTCTTTATTTCTATCTTCCCTTCTGTCTTCTCGTTTCACTCTGTTCCCTCTCACTTTCCATTGTGATTGTCTTGCTTGTTCTATTCCTTTGGTCTAGTCGAGCATATTCATTCGAGTAGTCATATAAGGGTAGTCACCCTGTTAGAGTAGCTACGCGTATAGACTATGGTGTCGGGGGTTGCCCTTCCGCCTCATCCGCTGAGCTTGCTCAGTGGGTCTGGCCCAAGTTATGGCCGCAACAGGACCTTATGGGTCTACCGTTCGTCATTCGTCAAACATTATGATTGATGTGTAAATATTGTAATTTTAAATCGGTAAAACCGAAAAACTATAAAATTTTCACCTTAATACGTTATTATTAATATTATAATGATTAGCAATTCTAAGGACCTGTTTAATGTGCTTTTTAAATAAAATATTCTTTACTTTAATTGCTCAACAGCTCTGTTATATTATATTGTAAATTATATAGCTAAACTAAACCACCACGCGTCTTGTCACAAGCAATTCTTATCCTGAATCCTATTGTTTGTCAAGTTATGGTTAAAAAATTAATTTTCGAATGCTGCTAGTATAATTTGTAACTATTGACATTTCACTTTTGTATTTATATCGTTGAGTGTTACTGCAGTGTTAATACCAGATAGGTATATGCACTGACTGGTTTCAGCTCGATTGGCGAGCGAAATATAAACGGATCTGCATGCTGAATATAATGATATTAAATCAACGAATTTACAAAGGTGAGGACTAACATAGGGCCTGCAATCGATAATTCCATCCACCTTGAAAACTCCACGCTCTACGCTAGGTACGTCGATAAGGTAGATAACTTGTAGTAATCCATATTATTACGGTCGATAATGTACATGTGCGTACTTACCATTTTAAGGAAAATTTTCGAAATTACCATGTAAGCAAGATTGACCAAAGTAGCAGTTTAGTAACAGTTATGATAGGTAGATGGCAGAGATAGTTCGCGAACATGGTGAGATTTTAACGCTAATGAATACGAATGTAATACAAAATGTCTTAATAACCGATAGTAAATTAATCCGACAGTTTTAGTTGAAAAATAATTATATGTTTGAATTCCTTGACACTGTTTGCATCATTTCAATAATTATTATGGTATCTCAAATATATTGAAGAGTTTTATAGGCTTTTTGATTCTCAGCATTTTCTTGCACAAAGTGTAGCCTAGTACGTTTTCCGTTAGTCAATTTTTTTGCATCTATAACACATGCTCTGATGCCAAAGTTGGTTTCGCGCATGGCTACACTTTATACTCCGAGGACGAAAATCCTATCAATCGAAAACACCATTAGCTTTGCCACGTTTCTTATGCTAGGACGAAATGGCAAAATAAGAACAACCAACAATTCATCGCTATCCAATATCATTAAGACGGCTGAAAATATCTGAAGTTATTAATAAAAATGCGGAACAAAGATTCAAATGTTAAATTTCTCCATGGCTGTGATAACAAAAAATAATATTCCCAAGTTAAATTGTCCCTAGTAAAGGAATTCACGAAAACCGTAATTGCTCTAGTGGTTTCTGCCTCCAGGTATAACATGTTCGGTCAGGTCGTATCCTGCATTCTAACAGAAAATAAGGAAGAAGAGCGGCGTGCGAGCTGGTAGCGAGTAAAGCAAGTAGGCAGCCAGCCTGCTGGTTCGCCCATCGTGAATAGGATGAATAGGTAGGTAGAGTGGTTGACGGTCTCAGTCCGATGTCGACTGCACAGTACTAAAAAGAGTAGGGATAAAGCCGTTGCGACTCATCCCCACTCCTGGGTCACCTGCGACCTCTGCCGCGCAGTGTCGCCATCTGCCGAGTGCGCGGGAATCTCGGCATTCTAATACTTGGACGCGCCTCCTTCGTGCTCAGTATGAGTCGAGCGCGCGACCAGCGCGAATGGTCCGTTTGAGTTGTCGCAGTCGTCGTTCCGCGGCACGAAGTGAAGTGCATCGTAAGGGCGCAACACGCGTAGCCTGAACGAGAATAACAAGTTGAAAGCTCGACGACGCAAAGGATAACATATGACAACGGATATCCGGGGGGTTTGTGTTGTGTTTAAGATAAAGAAAAAAAAAGTGTTGTAATCAAGGGTGGCAACAGTGTTAGTGCGAGATTCCGGAAATCCCTGAGGGGTTCGATGTCTCTCGAGTATTAAAAAATAAAGAAAAGTGTAAAACGCGAGTGATAACTTCTAGGGGATTTCTTTGATTAATAAAAGTCTGTGCGACGTGGTGAAGGAAGGTGTTAAGGAGAAATGTATCGGCCAGATATATTGTGATGCAAAAGTGCCACCTTATATAATTTTTTAGTTCGCGGTTTGGTGATCGTCCGCGACCCGTCGGGAAGTTATCGCTCGACGATGGCTGTGAAGTGGCCGCGAAGGTGGTGCGCGTCGAATGATAAGGCGGTCGCGCTCATCCTTGTCGTTTTATACTGCATCGCGGTTTCAAGTGCTGGTGCATCGTGTCATTGGTCGCCTGAAGGAAACGACACGCGTTCGGCGGTATGCAATCTTCGTACGTTGGATCCAGTAGCCGTCGCGGCGCTTCTGCCGTCCTTGGACGGCGCCCTGAAGCTCAATCTCGGATGCAGCGACGTGCACCTCTTCGAGAGCGTCATCTCCGGCGAGAGCTGGCACCGACTCATCGGACTTCACGAGCTTCATATCCAGGGTTGTAAGCTACTTCGTATACCGGAAGCTGCGTTTCAACCCTTGGCCGAGCTCAAAAGGCTCGTCCTGGAAACGTACAATACTGACTGGGGTGTCGGACGCACCTTGGAGCTCATCCCCGATGCCTTCGCTGGTTTACGTGAACTCCAGACTCTGGAGATCATCGACAGCAACCTCAGGGTCCTGCCACCTAACGTGCTCTGCGAACTTGGTAATCTTCAGGTCCTCAATCTGACCGGAAATCGGCTGCACGAGGTCAGCGACGTTGGCCTCGCTGATAGTCGTGCCAATCGTGCCAACTGTCATGCTGACATCCGTGCCCTGGATCTCTCGCGCAACGAGATACGTAATTTGCCTGAAGAGAGTCCTCTCTCCGGACTCAGACAACTTCAGGAACTTCACCTGCAGCACAATTTCATCAGCGACATTGCTCCCGATGCCCTCACCGGACTTACAAGTTTAAGGATCTTTAATGCGAGTCACAACAGACTGGAAATTCTTCCCGAAGGATTGTTCGCTAGCACTCGTGATCTTCGCGAGATTCATCTGGAGTTCAACGACCTGAGGGACCTACCCCGTGGCATTTTCACCAGACTGGAGCAACTCCTGGTGCTCAATCTGGCTGGCAACAGACTGGGCAGCGATCGCGTCGACGATGCTACGTTTCTTGGTCTTATCAGACTCATCGTCCTGGATCTGTCACATAATTCCCTGACGCGCATTGACGCACGCATGTTCAAGGACCTCTTCTTCCTGCAAATCCTTGATCTACGCAACAATTCCATCAATCACGTCGAGAGCAATGCTTTTGTTCCTCTCTACAATCTTCATACCCTGGAACTCTCTGAGAACCGATTGCATACGATCGGCGCGCAGCTCTTCAATGGTCTCTTCGTTTTGAATCGGCTGACCTTATCTGGAAACATGATCGTTTCCGTGGATCCATTGGCATTTCGGAATTGCTCTGACCTGAAGGAGCTCGATCTCAGCGGAAACGCATTGACCAGCGTGCCTGAGGCTCTTCATGATCTTCCCGTCCTGAAGACTTTGGACCTTGGTGAAAATCAGATAACTGAATTCAAAAATGGCTCCTTTCGGGAGCTACATCAACTCACCGGTTTACGTTTGATCGGCAACAACATTGGCAACCTTACCCGCGGCATGCTGTGGGACCTGCCCAATCTTCAAATTTTGAACTTGGCACGAAATAAAATTCAACATGTGGAGATCGACGCTTTCTCGCGGAACGAACGTCTCGAAGCTATACGCCTCGACGGCAATTTTCTCTCGGACATCAACGGCGTCTTCGCCAGCGTCACCAGTCTGCTCCTTCTGAACTTGTCCGAGAATCATATCGAGTGGTTCGATTACGCCTTCATACCGAGCAATCTGAAGTGGCTCGACATTCACAGCAACTTCATCCAGAGTCTGGGAAATTATTACGACATTCGTGAATCCAAAGTGCGCACCCTGGATGCCAGTCACAATCGGATCACGGAATTGACACCGACCAGCATACCCGACAGCGTGGAGTTGCTGTTCATAAACAACAATTACATAAGTGTCGTGCATCCTAACACCTTCACCGGTAAGGTCAATCTTACCCGGGTGGACATGTACGCCAATATGATCCAGACCATGGAATTGACAGCCCTTCGGTTGACCCAGGTCCCCGAGGGTAAGTCCCTACCTGAGTTCTACATTGGCGGCAACCCTTTTAACTGTAACTGCTCCATGGACTGGCTACCAGTGATAAACAACATGACCGCGCTGCGTCAGCATCCGCGCGTCATGGACCTGGATAACGCCATGTGCACCATCTCTGGTCCAAGGGGCACAGCGATCGTACCAGCCTCCGTGGCAAAACCTGAACAATTTTTGTGCCGTTACGAAGCGCATTGCTTCGCACTCTGTCATTGCTGCGACTTCGATGCCTGCGACTGCGAGATGACGTGCCCCTCGGATTGCAAGTGTTATCACGATCAGACCTGGAACACCAACGTGGTGGATTGCTCGGGACTGGGTGCACCTGAGATTCCACGAAGAATCCCCATGGATGCTACCGAAGTGTATTTGGATGGTAACGACCTGAGGGAGTTGCAGAACCATGTGTTCATCGGAAGGAAGAATATGAGAGTACTCTATGTGAACGCAAGTGGCATTGAGTCTATACAGAATCGTACATTTAACGGCTTGAATAATCTTCAGATTTTACATCTCGAGGATAACAGGATTCACGAGCTTAAGGGTTTTGAGTTTGAACATTTGTCCCACCTACGTGAACTCTATTTGCAGAATAATTTGATTGGTTATATTGGTAACATCACCATGCTGCCGTTGCACAGTTTGGAGATTTTGAGACTGGACGGGAACAGGCTTGTCACCTTTCCTGTCTGGCAGGTTATCCTGAATACCCAGCTGGTGGAGTTATCACTGGGTAGTAATCCTTGGTCCTGTCGCTGCAAATTCCTCCAAGACCTCACTTCCTGGGTGGCGGATAACGCCCATAGGATCATCGACGCCAATGACGTCTGGTGTTACAATAACGAGACGCGTCCGGCGTACCGACGTCGTTTGAACGTGAATGAAACTGCCTGCTCGGATTACTTTGCCCAGGGTGGTGTTATCGAGAGTATCATGGTCTCGGATTATCTACCAATGGTGGCGGCAACACTGTCGGCTGTCTTACTCCTGCTAGTGGTGACCGTCCTGGCATTCATATTCCGCGAACCGGTACGTACGTGGGCGTACTCTCGTTACGGGGTCCGACTCTGGGCCAAGACGGCGACGCCTGACGACCGGGACAGACTCTACGACGGCTACGTGTGCTACAGCCCGAAGGATGAGGATTTTGTGCTGCGCTCCCTGGTTGCTGAGCTGGAACATGGCGTAGGAGGTGCACCAGGTGCGGGTGGACTGAGACTGTGCCTCCATCATCGTGATCTACCTTGTCTCAGAGCGGCTGCACCAGTTGTTCTTGAGGCTGCCGAGGCGTCGCGACGCGTGCTCATCGTGCTCACGAGAAACTTCCTTCAGACTGAGTGGTCCAGGTTCGAATTTCGCGCCGCCGTCCACGAGGCTCTACGCGGACGTCCCGGTCAGCTCGTCGTCGTGCAGGCTGGTCCGGTTGCTCCGGAGGCTGAGGCTGATCCCGAACTGAGGCCGTACCTACGCACGGCCGTGCGTCTTCGCTGGGGCGAGAAACGCTTTTGGGAAAGACTGAGATTCGCGATGCCTCCCGGCGACGCCCTCAGACGCAAACCGTCGTCCTTGTACAGGAGGAACGTGAACACCTACACCCTGGAGGGTAGATCGGAAAAGGGTACGCCAACTCTGAGGGTCCATGGCCACATCGCGGGACACCATCCACTCTTCAAAGACGCACCGGAACTCCTTCAGGCGCCTCCGGCTTATTCCAGCACCGCGACGCTTAGCCATAACAGCACCAGGAACGAGAACTGCATCGGCGCTGGGATGGTCTGCGGAAGGGAGACTCCGGTGAGCACCGCAAGTCCTAGTCCGAGATTGACCGTCAATCATGCCTATCAGGATGCCGGTATGGAGGGTAGCGTCCTGACGCAGGGCGCCGGTAGGCGGCCACTTTCCGAACACATATACTCTTCGATTGACTCGGATTACTCGACCCTGGAGAGGAACGCGTGGAGGCAGCAACATCAGCAGCCACCACCTTCCGGACAGGCTTACCTGGTGTAGCTTGTTCACCGTCTTGGCTACGTTAGTCACGTTGCTGAGTTCATCTCGTCGGCTTCCTGGTACTCTTCGTGGATCCACGGCTGGAGTGTCCTTGGGACGTCGGGTAACTTCGGCCTACCTCGTCTCTTTCCGGTTAGACATCCGGATTCTAATAACGTAGGTGCTCTCCCCCAATTTGCTGTGAATGTTGCAGTGTCGTATTTTACATTACCGATGGCCTACCTCGCCACTGACTGATTAACTAATTAATCTCACTTACTTAAACGTTATGCTTAATTAAATGGTCGCGCGCAACGGCCCTTAATACGCGCGACACGGCTGTAAATAATTACTTATTATTATTGTATATGTATATGTATAAATTGCGATGTCCAGCCGAGAGAATGTATTGCAGTCGTATGGAACGAGAAAGAGAGAGAGAGAGAGAAAGAGAGAGACAGAGAGAGAACTGGAGAAAAATGTGCATGAAAAACTAAGAGATGAATGAAATTTCAGAGAGAGAGAGAGAGAGAGAGAGAGAGAGAGAGAGAGAGAGAGAGAGAGAGAGAATAATGCGTTTAAGAGTACGAATTTAGATAGGCAATTTTTTGTAATTTTATATGATTGAGAACGAAGCCTGTTGTACGATATGTAAATATGTAATATCGCCTCGTGTAAGATATATATATTCAGCGTAAAATGAAGAAAAAAAATTAAGCAGAAGTAACCGAATAAAAAAAACGTTACCTACGGATCGTACATATTTATATATACGCGCATATACCTATGTACGCATGCGCCTGGGTGACGAGTATATACGAATTGTATATTGACTATACTATGATTATTTAAATTGTGTGAATAAATTTATAACTTATGTTATCATTTCGATTAAAATCTGAACAAGTAAATTTCAGTTTTTATCTTCAATTTAACCCCTGCTCTTAAACCGCTCCTATACACCCCCTCCCCGTCAACTTCGTCACCAATGTCGCTCGATTAGGATTTTCGTTTACTACGAAAAATTTGCTGCTTCGTTCATCGATCATTCCTGCCGTTCTGCACGTCGTCGTTTTTTGTTTCTGTTCTTCGACCTCATTCGAATTCTCTGGTCGTTCACACGAAAATTCACCTTTAGTCACGTTATAGTTGGTTAAAGTACCGTCAATTACTCCGCCTACAGACAACACGTGAATATTACATTTGTCATATTAAATTTTTGTATTTGATTTTCTGCATGAATAAATTTTGCAAAATTTCTTGTCACGTGTATAATATCTATATGTGTAGTCATATGTTTTTTAATACGCAGACGAACGATCATTGTTGTCATTAGATATAATTCTTGTAGACGGCCCAAAAATCGTCCCTTTATTGTATCACAAGAAAAGGCAAGCACAACAAAGTGACGACGAAAGGCGCGAAAATATTTTCAAACTGCAATTTAAAGGTTGGTTGTAAAAAAAAATTTTTTTTCCTCCCGATTTTCCATTATCCTCCCAATATCCATTGACTTCGGCCGATAGGATGCTCGAATCTTCTGGAAGGTTTTTCAATGGTCAGGTTTTCTCTATCAACGAATTTCCTCTTCTCGTAATTGATTCAGGAAACGGGGTCTTAAGCGTATTTGTGACGCACCGATACAGATTTATATTCCTGCCATGTGTATTCATCTTCCTACGTAATGTCGTTAATGCGACTGTCGCTTTAATAGAAGCTATTCGAATAAATAGTTTGTTAGTGAACAACGCTCCGCTGGGGGCATTGATCGTAGCCAGCGCCGCCACGCGTTGCGCACTTACATTATTAATGCGCTCGCTGCAACGTGTATAGTCTAATGGTCTGCTTGGTATACTTCCGCTCTAGATATTACGGGTTTATAAATCCTTACAAAATATATGGCTAGTATATGTATATAGATATACCTTAACTCTTTATATTTCTCAATAATAGCCTTTGGTTCGAAACTCAATAAAAATATTAATCGATATTAATTTTAATACATGGGTAATTAAAAATTGCGAATATCTTTTTAATATGAAAATAAAATACTTGATCACATAAAGAAAATGACTCGAATCCATATATTTGATAAAATTAATTCATTTAACCAATGTAAATTGGCTCATGAAATATACATATAATTACGCAAAATATTGTAGGTAAATATAAATTTTTATTTTTTATCTATCACAAAATTTGCCCACTCGTAATGACTTTTTGATATTTTCACGTTTCACGAGTATCGATCTTACGTTTGTCCGGATCGAACTGACCCTCGTCAATTATTACAATTTATATCTTCCCACAGTCGTACAGTTGACTTTCGATACGCTGCTGCAATTCCGTTTGCATCCATCCCTATGCTGTCCTACCCCAAGAATTGTAAAAGGGCGCAAGGCGTCTTTTCATGACTAATTCCAAGAGTCATTCTACGTGTGCCCGACGGCCAGTATCATTGTCATTTTTCCTTCGCGAATTCGTCACGTACGATGACGACGTACCAGCTGCTTAAAGATTTTCGGTCCAGCATGAAATTGCGACAGCTGCTGCCCAGGAACGAAGGAATTGCAATACCAACCAGTTTAGGTAATAAGGGCGTTGAAAAGTTTTGTAAATTTTTTTTTTCCCCGAAAAGTCATTGCAATAATATAATTTAATATTTCAAAAAGAGATTTTTATCATCCCTAAAAGACGGCAATGGCGTGAACGAAAAAATTCTCAACCCTCGGTCGACCCTTGTGAAGAACGTAGATTCCGATGGCAGGGGGCAAGGGGTGGTTCCCATTTGATAGGGGTTGGGACTGGTGAAAGCACGTAGCACACAGTCAGCTATTTTCTCATGGTGAATTGAAACAATCGTGTGAAGCGAACCGCAAGTGATAATGGTAGCAATTTTAAAAGATCGTAAGCTTATACGTTTCCAGGTAACGATTGCAGCCATGTCAAAGGAAAAAAAAAAAATTACACCATTAGAAAAAAAATTTTCAAAAAAAGTAAAACTCATAAATTAAAAATCATTTAAAATTTCATTCTCAATTTTCATATCGACAATTATTTTTTAATAATTATTTATAACGTCAATATTTATTTATAGCCACTGATAACGACTCCCCTGATTATTCTCACGTGCGTTATTTCACGTCTTATGTTATCAATCAAATCCCACGTAATAAGCAACCGATTTCATTGTATAGATATACGTATGTGACACATGTGTTCATATTACATATGTGAAATTTATATGGAGGCGTTGAAATGTCACGCATTCCTGTTTGCTTATTTTTCCATGGATCATTTCAATTCCACTCGAACGGCCAATGATCTGTCATAACGTGTGTAAAACAGGCACGTTTTTTTTTTCTTCACATGATCATACTGCAGGCGATACGTATATGGCCTATGGGATTTATCCGAATTAATTAATAGAGTAACATATGGATACGTCGAATATCCTGCTGCTCGTACGAAAGGTAGGGTGATGATTGCTGGAGCTATAGTCATCATTTACCATACGTCATCATTGACATCAGGATCGAGGGTTTAAAAAAGACGAATTTTCCGAAGACAAATAATTCAACGTTAAAAATCCCTGGTATCAATTTTTGAAAAATAATTTTTATCTGTAAAATTTTTTTTTTAATTTTTCTTACCTTACGATATTTTTCTATCGACTGTTTTTCTTTAATACACTCTTTCTGTAATATCATTCGAATTTGCCATTGATAACAGATAACATATTCCCATATGGACTTTATCACAGTAATATCCAACGCAGCGAAGTCAAAAAACTAATTTCGAATGAAACAAAGAACTACGACCATATTTGGAATATAAAAATCTGTTATTCAAATTTGATAAAAAAAAAATATCCAGGGACTCCAAGCAGTCTGTAAATAGTTTCCCATTGACATTCCCGCTGGCACGCGAGTGCGATAGTAATCGATAAAAAAAAGAATCACCGTGTATAATAAATCCAAAGATCGCAAGTAAAGCCTCGTACAAGGGATAGACAAATGTAGGAATACATAAAATTGAAAAAAAAAAAACAAAAAAAAATTTACCGAGTACCATTATTCACGTATGTACACCGAGGTTAGAGAAATTTGAGCTAACTGAAAGTCAACCCCTAAATATATCGAATTTCTCGAGGGTAGGATATTCCAGTAAGGGTGTCGCCAGCTTAAAATACCTTTTCACTACTGGCGGCTGGCTGGCACTCGCGTGACGGCCGCCATGTTTGCCGAGAGGCAATACCTCCGACCCTCGAACGGCTACGGCAGTAGTCGCCACTACCCCTCCGTGCCACCCTGCAGCCCTGACTCTGTCCTTCTTCAACCCCCCCAGCCTCAGGACTCCACGATCCTCACGCCATCGCGAATAACCGTCACGCGAACCGTCCGAGTCAGCCACCCTTTGCCAGAGGGTGACCATTCGAGAGCGAACCACATGGCTATTTCCATTTCCTGCGCTTTTATTACGGCGCATCTCCCCCTGCTTTATTCACTCTC